AGTCAGGGTCCTTACAATGCCTGCAAGTCCCTCCCGTCTGGCTGCTGTGACCCCTCTAATCTCACTTCCTAGCACCTGTGTCCTTAATTCACCTGCTGCAGACACACTATCCTCCTTACTAATACTTAAACATACCAGACACACTCCTGCCTCAGGCCCTTCGCACTGGCTCTTCCTTCCACATGGAACCCTCTCCCCTTGGATACACATATGGCTCCTCCCTTGCCTCTTTCATGTCTTTTGCTGACTGACCGCTGCCCACTGCCACTCCCAACCTTCATATCCCTCTTCCCTGAATTTTCTCTGTAGCAGTAATTACCATCTAACTTATTGTGTATTTCACACTTCCACGTGTTTATTTTGTCCTCCGTCACCTCTACCGTGACCCTGACTCCCAGCTAGAATGTCAGCTCTGTGAGGGCAGGGATTTTTGTCAGGTTTTCTTTTTTTAATTGGTTTATCTCCAATGCCTAGGGATATTCCTCGGGCAGAATAATTACTCAATAAATATCTGATGACTAAGTGAATCAAGGTCTACTAAATGAATAAAGACATGAAATCCATGATGTGTATATCAAAGCCCTGGTGCTGAGCAGTCTTAAATGAATTACCAAAGAGGCATCAAGCTTAGGTTTAAGAAACTAAGCAGAAAATGAAGTTGAAATAATTTAAGAGTTCAGAAGCACCACAATGTTTCTATCTTGATGTGACTGGTAGTTCTACAAGTGTACACATATGTAAAAATTAATTGAACTGGAATTAAAATTAGTGCACTTTACAGTTTTCTGTATGTATGGTACACCATGATGAATAAAGTATTTTTTTAAAAGGAACGAAACAAATGTCCAAATAGTGCACGTGAAAAACATCATCAGAACCTTGAGACCCTTAGCCCTTATTTTATGGTTTAAAGCTATTTTTATTTTGATATATTGGGGAGAGGTTTACACCATAATCCTGACCATGCTTTGGACCTCTGGATGTCCCTGGTATGAATAAATATTTGTTCTAAGGAGTGAGAATTCACCTTTGAATGCCCAGCAGTGAGTAGGAGCTACCACATATCATGTGTGATGAATGAATGAGCTCTGTGAACCTGTGGGGTGTGGCAGCCAGACCTGAAGTTGACTCCCAGGGTCCCTCCCTGGGACCTCCAGAACAAGCCCCTCCCTCCTCCCAGCTCAACCTAGCTCCTACCCCAGCAGCTCTGAATGTTGTCCTGGACTTCCAGACCCCCGCAGTCTGGGGAGAGATCACAGAAAAGCCTCCAGTGGGGTTAGGGGCCAAAGAAAGGAGGGGGGCAAACCAACCCCTGGGAAGACTCCCTGTCCCCTCAATATCACCCATATCCACTTCAGTGCCCACTGGGGAGCAATGTCACCTGGGGAGGCTGGGGGTGAGAGTGCCTGAGTGAAGTTGGGACAAGGAAGCGGGTGAATGCAGAGGGGCAGTGGCCAGTGGAGAGAGAGACAAGGGGCCAGACTTGGGGTCCCTCAGGCTCTGGGGTCACTTACCAGGGAGCTGCTGCGTGAGATTGAGTTCCTTCTGGTACCTGGGCTGAGTGTAGGACCAGATTTGCACCTCAGCCCCCAGGGCAGCCTCGAAGCAGTCAAATACTACAGAGCCCTGTGAGGAGAGGGTGGAGGAAGGCTGGTGGTATAAGGCTCAGAATCCTCTCCATGGACCCTCTCCACTCACCTTCTGCCCTATTCCCAACCAACTACTATACTGCATGGCCCCAGATTCCATCGTGAACCTGTCCTCAAGGACTCTAGTGCTAAAGCACACAGCCTCAGGAGGAGAGGCAGCAGGGCCGGTTAAGGGATTACAAAAGAAAGATTAAACTTTCCGAGACTCTTCCAAGAGCTGGGCATTATACCAGGTATTTTACATATATCAACTCATTTAATTCTCACAACAGCCAACATTTAATTCTCTCAACAATCCTATGAGATAGGACTATTCTCCTTTTTCTTTTTTGGTGGGGGAGGCACATCTCATGGCTTGTGGGATCTTAGATCCCTGACCAGGGATCAAACCTCAGCAGTGAAAGCTGGAAGTCCCAACCACTGGACTGCTGGGGAAGTCCCGAGGTGGGACTATCCTTATTCCTGCTTTATGGATAGGCAAACTGGAGCATGAAGGACTGAAACGACTTGCCCATAGCCCTGCCGAAATCAGGACTTACTTAAAGAGATAGTGCACGTGAAAGTACTTCATGAATTTCATCTTTAGGAAGTGGTTAGCGTTATTATTGTTTTGCGTACCACAGACTGACCAGGCTGCACCAGGGCAGCGGGCACTTGCACCTCCAGCAGAACACAGTGGGCAGTAGGGTAGGCCTGGAAGGAGAGCACGACGTGGGCCTGGAGAGAGACTGTGAACAGGGCCGGGCGGCGGTCAGGCCCAGGAGGCCAGGGCAAGGCTCTGGGCAGGGACAGCTGGGTCGGCCAGTTTCTCCTCACCGTTCCTAGGCTCCTCAAGCTCTGGGTCAGCAGCTCTTCCGAACTTCTCTTCTTTGTCAGGATCTCCCCTGTACCCTGGAAGGGCCCGAGAGCAAGGCACAGGTCCAGCCTCGGCTCTGGGTTTGGCTTCCTTCCAGGAAGCTCGGTGCTTGGAAGCAGAGGCCAGGCCTGGGGCCTGGGGGACGGGCAGTGAGACCAGGCTGACTTGGGGGGTGTGCACTGGCCCGTGTCCTCCAGGAGAATCTCAGGATGCCCCGGGCTGCCTGACAGACTCCCCCACCCTCGTGTCCACATCAGACACACTCACGTGCACCCAATGCCCAGTCACAGGATGCCAGGCTCACCGTGCACGGCCAAGTGGACGGCCACACGCACACAGAGGTCGCAGTCAGTCTCCTCGTGGCACCTCAGCACCAGCTCTGTCTGCAGGCGTGTGGGCACCAGCACGGGGCCTGGGGCGGACGCGAGGCTCCCGGGCAGGCAGAGCACGTCACCATCTGCGTGTGAAGGGCGGGGTGGGTGCTGAAGCCACTCAGACCCCGGAGTCCGGATACACCTGACACCCCCGGAGGGCCAAGGAGCTTTGGGCTCTCCCTGGGCTGAACAGCTCCCAGCCCCCTTCCCTGCTGCCAACCCAGGAAGACCCTTCCTTTCTAAAAGTAGAGCTACTCACCCCAGAGGTGGCAGGACAGGCCCTGGGAGAGAGTTACAGACAAATCAGAGTTTATGCTTCCAAACCTAACATTCCCTCCGCCGCCAACTCTTTCTCCCTTTTTTGAGTCCCTCCCAGAAGAACTCAGATCTAGCTCTTGCCCCCTCCCCATTCTTCTCTTACCCCATCAGCACCCGACAGACCAGCCAGGGCAGTTCTGACAGGGATGGCAGTGACAGGAGCCAGGCTAGGGCCTCAACAGCCCCGGACCGAACCTGGAGCCTTCCTCAGCCCGCCCGGGTCCCCAGACTCACCGGAGAGCAGCGGGCCGTGTCCTGAGGCCCCACAACCCTCTCCAGAGAGAGGACCACGGGGTTCCGGCCCAGTGCCAAGGACAGAAGGAACCAGGGCACAGGCATCTTCCAGGTGCCAGGCAGCACCCAGGCCTGAGGCCCTGTCCTGCCCCCCCCCCGAGGGGGGGCAGACACCACACCTCTTCGCCCACTCAGCCGCGGGCCTCGGGGCAGGAGAGGCTGGAATCGCTCCTCAGCCTTGGGGTCCCGGCGCTGGCCCGCTCTCGCTCGCCTCTCCCGGGAGTCCTGACTCCGGGCCAGTCCCAGCCAGAGTGCTTTCGTTTTGGCTCCCGGCAGGCAGCCGTCTGTTCCCGCCCCGCCCGGTCCCTCCCACCAACACCAGACTTGGGAGCCAGCAGCCCTGGACTGGAGTGGTGTCTCAGCCCCTCCTCCCCCTCCTCCGCTGACACCTGGCTGGGAGGGGCCCTGCAGCGGGCGGTGGCCTAATGGGTGAGTAGGGAGCCTGACTCACCCTGGGAGTCCCTGAGGAGGAGGGTTCTGGGCACTCCTGGGGCATTTTCACTTCCCATATGACTCTGGGACTCCAGGTCCCTTCCCGCATTCTCCTGGGACCTCACTGTGGAACAGGAGCTCTAAAGGCACTAGAAAGTGGGCTTCTCATCACTGCTTGGCTTATGCTGAAGTGTGGGGTCAGGGGGCAGGAACCCAGGACCCAGAGGCAGGAAGGCAGGGTCCTAATTGTGCTGTTGCCACAGGCTAGCTGCGAAACCAAGGACCCACACCACCTGTTTTCCTTTCTTCTCCCTGAAGAATCACAGTGAGGATCAAGATCTGCAGATCCCTCTTTGCCTTTTCAGAGGCACTGCTTGTGAGAACGTGACAAAGGTGGATGTGGATGTGGACACAGAGGATCTGGGCCCACAGAATGATGTATGACCACCCCTGGGTAGGGTACTGCTGACCCTTCCCCCAGCTCAGCACCCTGGGCACACTGAGGAGGCACCTTGTGTTTCTTAGTTTACCCATCACGTTTTCTTTTATTCACCTCTCTGTCAGTCTCCACTGTCCCATCTCTGCCCCCACCACCCAGGGCCAAAGATTCTTTCCCTGGGTCCCGAGCCCTCCCTCCCTCCAACTGTGGGCAGGGCCCCCATCTGGAAAAGGCAGATCCTTAGCCCCAAAGGGGTGTTCTGCCCCCTCCACCCCCCAAAACAGAGCCCCCCTCCGCCCCCGTACTCCGTCTGGAGGCGCCTCCCAGTCAGAACTGCCATCTCTTCTGCCTCCCCCAAGCCCTGTCCCAACCTCTCCAGTGTGGACTGGAGCCTACGTGCACGATTCTCTGCAACTTCTGGAGAGAGGAAGTGTGATGATCCCCACCCACCACAGGACTGAGGTCAAGGGAGTTCTCGGTAAAGAGAGACTCTCCCTGAGGGTTCTGAGGAAGCCTGAGCAGGAGGAAGAGGTTGGACACGGGGGACATGGGGAGTGGGCGGGGACGCCGAGTGAGGGGGTTCCAGCCAGCGCCCCCAGGCCCGCAGCCACAGACATCCCGACTGCGCTGAGTTCTGTTCAGCCTTGGTCAGCAAGTTTGGCGGCCTCCAGTTCCAGCCTGCGGCACAGCTCCACGCGACCCCGCAGGCGCGGCTGGGCGACGAAGCGGCCCCGGGTGGTGGCTTCAGTAGAGGTCCGAGCGTCCAGGGCGCGAAGCAGGCGCGGCAGGTCGTGCAGCAGGCGGTAGCGGGGCAGGGTGCGCAGGGGCGGGGGAATGTCGCCCTTGGCGCAGAGACGACTAAAGTAAACCAGCAACAGCAGCGGGCGCGGGGTGGCGCGGAGCAGGGCGCGCAGGGGCACAGCGCGAGGATCCGGGCCGCCCGTGGGGCTGGGGCCGGCGCTGCTCCACAGAAGAACCACGGCGCCCCGCTCCCGCGCCACACGCGCCCGCGCCGCCCAGAGCCACGGCAGGGGGCCCACGCGCGCCACCTGTGTGCCCTCCCAAAGGTCCACGATCACGTCGCGCCCGCCGCCCAGCGCGGCCCGCAGCAGTTCAGCAAGTGCTCCCACCAGGCGCCGCTGCGCTTCAGACTCCGCCACGTGCAGCAGCAGCACCGGCCGCGCTCGGCCCGGGCCTGGGGGCGGGAGCAACTGATGAGCAGGGTTGGGGGCTAAAGGAAAACCCAGCCCTCCCCTCCCAGGTCTCGGGGCTACCTGATAGGGTTGAACGTCACCCCGCCCCCCCTTCCCTGTTCTTCATCTGCGCCAGGGTTGGGTACCCAAGGCAGCTTTAGTCTATAGGGCACCTTTGGGCTAATTTAGATAAAGGTGCCCCGGAAGAGGCAAGGGCGAGAGCGACAGGTGCAGCGCTGGCTGCATCTCCACCCCACTTGCCTCTTGCCTAGAGACGCCGCGGAGGCGTCTCTAGGGACCTTTGTCCTGCTTTAACCATCTCTGCCCACTAGGGGGCCTAAGGCTAACAGCCTTGGTAACACAGGGCTGGTGCCCACGGCAGGGAGGAGGCTCTTTGGGAAGGCATACTGGGCAGGGGAGGAACGGGAGGGCAACTGGCCTAGGAGCCAAAACAGTCCTCAGGTTACCTCCCAGTGAGCTTACCTGACAGTGGGCGCCGGCACGTGAGAACCAAAACAACTCCCAGTAGGGTGGTGAAGGCCAGCAGCGCCAGGATCAGGAGCCCCAGGCGTCTGTGAGAGGCTGAGTCAAGCAGAGTGAGGCAAAGCCCAGCTCCTCAGCGCCCAGCCTCCCTCTCACTCCCCGGGCCCTCCCAGGAACTCACCATCTGGACACAAGAGTCGCTTCCAGGCAAACTGGACATCTGACCTCCACACCTGAGGGCACAGAGCCCCACACCCTTGTGAGCCAGGGTAAACCCTCCTCCCCGGGGAAGCCGAATGAGGTGGGAGGATGGAGAAGGGGACCCTGGAGAGGGCATTTCTCTAGCACAGGGTTTGCTTCTGTACCAGCTTTGGCAAACTCAGAAAGTAAACCCAAAGTGGACCAGGGTATTCACGAGGAGCTGGAGGGGCACAAGTCCTGACTGAAGCAATCAGACACCACGGAGCTCCCATCCCAATCACCACGTCTGAATGTGGACACAAAGCACCAGGTTTTCTGAGTTTTCAAGAAATGCCGGAAGTCAACTTTTTAAAATAGGACATCTCCCACCAATTAAATGGTGGCAACTACTTCCAATTTTGAACACTGTGCTGGCCAAATCAAACATTTTTAGCGACTGGATTTGCCCCATGTGCCACCTGTGGTGTAGATGCCAGGGGTGTGTATGCAGAGTGAGGGCAGAATTCCTTACCAGGACACAGCCTCCTGGCCTCAGGAAGGGAAGGATGAGGTCTAGGGTCACTGGGGTTGAGCCCTGAGTCTGTGGGAACAAAGAGCAGAATGACTGTCCCCATAGAGGCAAATCTGGCTCTGTACAGCCCTAAGCCTTTGCCCATGTGGTGTTTTTCCCTTCTCCATGCCACCCCCACCCCAAATCCTACCAGGCTTAGGACCAAGTGCCACCCCAACAAGAAGCCTTCCCAGGCTTCATTCACAGATCCTGCTGATCATTCCCAGATCTGAACTGTGGCACAGATACACGTTAATCAGGCACTCATCAATATACTCTGGGTACTGACTCTGTACCAAGCCCTGAGGAAACAAGGTGGGCACAGATATTGGTTCAGTCCTCTAGTAGCTCACGAACCAGGAGGTTAATCTCTGCCCTGCAAACCTGGAGGGGCAGCTTGTCCATTGGAAAGAATGTAAGTTGTAGAGTCAGGAGACCACAGCTAACAAAAGTCAGGCTTAACTACTGCCTTTGTGGTTCCTAGCAGGGGGATCTTTGCATCAAGATAAGACTACCTTCCTCCTTGAGCCTCAGTTTCTTCATCTGTGTATAATGGATAATAATCCTTATTTTACTGGGTTACTGAAAGCCTCACATGGGAATATACAGGTGGATGCCATTTATAATACACAGTGTAGTGTGTATTCATTTAGTAGTAGTGCTTATTTATTACACGATAGGCTCCTTACAGGCAGAGACTGTGTTACATACTTTTCTTATATCTCCAGGGCCTATTACAGAGTGGGAACAGAGCAGGCACTGAATAAACGCATGCTGAACTGACGGCTCTCCGTCTACAGGCAGGATGTGGCTTCACCCTGTGTTCTGGGCGTTGGTTAGGGTGGATCAATCTCCATTCTTTGGGAACACCCTACAGCCCCTGCCCCAGTCCTTCCTCAGCCCCCATCCTCCAGCCAGCTGTGAGTGGGTATTTTACAGTGGCTCTCAAACCATGGTTAAACTCAATGATGTGCCCAGCTCACAGCAGAAAAGGAGTCCCTGGATATAGCTCCCTATTTTAGGTCATCCCACGTGAGTTCGTCTTAAATCTGTAGCATTTGCTACCATCTGTCTGCTTGGGAGCCCTTAAAGAATATAAAACAAATAAACAAGCTGCATGTGAGTAAGAAAGAACTGAAGAGAGCGAGCATGCTTAGTCAGCTTGGTGCTGTGGTTTTGCGGATACATTTGATGGTGGTTTTTATGTTAGACACACAGAAGAGAGTCCGCTAGTTAGCTGTTTTTAGTTCACATGATAGAGTTAAATCTGTCAGTGGTTCACAGTATTCTGCAAAGAGCACTTTAGCTTCCTGGGGCTCTGTCTCCCAGACACACAGAACTCCTGCCAGATGCCTTGTGGAGGCAGGCAGGGGTGTGTGGAGGATGGCTGGTTGAGAAGAGGGCATCAGTACAAAATGTGGTGGCAGTTGGAGTGGGTCAGAGAGCAGCTGGGAGTGGGAGGGCCAGCCTCTTGCCTGTTTATCCCTGTTGGTTCAGAAAAAGGAAAGGCCTAGAAACTGCTCCATCGAAGACTCCACTGACTCCACAGCTGAATACAGGCTTATCAAGTCATTAAACCAGCAGATGCTGTGAGGCAGATATCTGCTTGCCTCTCCCTGATGTGCTCTAATCAATAGGTCCCAGGGAGCCAAACTCTGGCGAGGCCGTACCTGGCTGACGCTGTACACAGGGGGCACCACGCTGTCCTGCCCCAAGCCTGGGTGGCTCCAGGCAGCACTGAAGGTGACATGCGTCCTTGAAGAGAAGTGGAGGACCACCTGCTGGGCCTGTGTATCCATGCTCACATTCCAGGACGGGGCTGCTGGGGAGGGGAGCAGGTAGGGGAGAGCATCAGGTGAGACAGGATGTTTTGTGGGAGGTCATAGGAGCTGGGCTGCAGTTGACAGAGAAGTCTAGGGCAGGAATAGAGTTTGACTTCACCACAGTTGTGTGAGGGTGAAATGGTGAGAGAGGGGTCCCATCCAGGGTCACTTATTGGCTCACCGAATGTCCGGTGGGGGCATTCAATGTGGTTGCTGTTTCCAAAAGAGAACTGAGAAATCCAAGAAGAGCAAGTCAGCAAGCTCCAGGCAGCACGCACACCCTCCCGGCCCCTGTTGCCCATGCTGGTACCTTGAAGCAGAGCTGGGGATGCAAGTCCACTTTCTCCACGACATACCACTGTGGGGGGAGAAGGGAGGTGAGAGCAGGCCCCCAGGCCCTAGCCCTGCTCGCCCAGGCCCTAGGAAGGCCTGACTCACCCCCTCTGACTCTCGAGCCGTGGCATTGGGGAGGTCTTCGCAGAGGGTGGGCCAGCCCCGCCTCTGGCACAGGGAGGCCTCCAGCTTCAGTGGGCAGCGGAGTGTCACGGCCATGACCATCTGATTATGCTGGCTGTGGTCAGTGAAGTTCATTGACTCCCAGAAGTCTGAGTCATCTGGGCAGGCAGCGGGGGCAGAGAGTGAGGCCCAGGAGGCCTGAGACTGATCCCGATTCCCAGGGCATCAGGAGATGACATTTCTGAAGGAGCTTGGCACAGCCATGGTCTGCCTAAGTGATAAAGGAGCATGCCGCTTCCAACCCCTCCTGTTACCTTTTATATTCAGCTATCTCCTCTCCTTCTTGTGCCTCCTTTCTGGCCAACTACTTGCTGCTCCCCAAACTCAAAATCTTCATATCTTTTCTTACATTACTCTCAGAATTAGGAATGATTTATTCTCCCTTCTCTGCTTTCTAAATCCCGCCTTTTTTCTGAGCCCAACTCAGGTGTCACCTCCTTTAGGAGACCTTTTCTATTCAACCACCATGGGCTTCTCCCTCCCCTGAGACAACCATCATGGGCTTCTGTGTCCCCACAGATCATGCCCTATAGCCTATTCCTTAGATACAATCCTTCCCTGGACCACAGGCTGCTTGCTGCTACTCATCTGTCATGTTTGAGCATCCTGTCTCTGCAATTTGGGCTCAACGATATGCATAGATGTCACCAACCACTTTCACATAAAATATTGAATTCCAGTCTCATAAGGAGTTGGAAAGTGAGGCAGGACAAGTACTATTATTTCACAGATGAGGAGACTGAGGCTCAGAGAAGAATGAGTAGCAGAGCTGGGATGTAGCCCAGGTCTTCTAATCCACCCTCTTAGGACACTGCCTCCTGAGGTGGGTATTTCTGAACCTCCCACAGTGCCTAAGACAACGTTCAGTGGTCCGATTTAGCAGACATGGTAGTCCATGACTTGCCTCTGCACTGATTCCAGAGAGAAAGTGCCTCAAGCTTTCTGCGGACTTCCTCCCATACCAGTGTAGAGGGTGTGCATGTGTGTGCGTGTGTACGTGTGTGTGGGAGAGAGACAGAGAGAAGGTGTGCGTGCACAGGAGTCACATGAGCAACTCACAGGCTTCAGGCTGGCCCTGGAAGGGACATTGTTTGCGCCTCACAGTGTCCTCTTGCAGGTAGGATGCCTGTGGGAGAAGGGAACAGGGATGGAGGTCAGAGGACTGGCTTTCCCAACATCACTCAGACTTGAAACTCATTCTGGCTTGACTTTGCCTGGACACAAGCTTCCTGAGCTGGCTAGGCACCAAGGAGGGGGAGTCGTGTGGGGTGCGGGCCAGGGTGGAGGCGCCTGGGGAGGAACTCCAGACTATAGGAGTGAGATCAGTGAGGGAGGGGTTGAGTCCTCTTCTCTGGGAGAGGAGAACCTAGCCCCAGAAAGAGGCAAATCATGAGGTCCATGTTACTCAACTTCTGCCTTCCCAGGTGTCCATTCTCAGCGATCCCCAAGCTGCCAAGTGCCCTGACAGGCCTCTCCCCACAACATCCAGTGGCTGTACCCCTCGCAGGTGCTCCTCATTACATGTCTCTGCCTGTACCTTCCCTTTCATCTCCTTCCTGGTAACAGGGCCCCCAGACTTCTCTGTCTAGCCCAAAGGAGCCTTTTTTCAAAAATATATTTATTTATTTGGCTGTGCTGGGTCTTAGTTGCAGCGTGGGAGATCTTCAGTTGTAGCATGTGGGATCTAGTTCCCTGACAATGGATCAAACCCTGGCCCCCCTGCACTGGGAGTGTAAAGTCTTAGCCACTGGACCACCAGGGAAGTCCCTTAAAAGAAGTCATAACGCTAGGCCCCCTCAGTCCTACAGGCAGAGGAGGAGGACTGCCATGTAGGGCTAGTGGGAATGGCACTTCTGGAGCCATATGCAACCTTGCAGTGGCCATGAGCCCTCACCCTAACAGCTCAGAACACCCAGTGAAGGCAAGCTGTTTATTCTGCTCTGTGGGTAGGCTGAGGCTGGGTCTCAACAAAGGCAAGGTGGGTTTGGGTGGGGCTGAGGTTGGAATCACCCCCAGGAATATCCCATGATCAGCAGGACACCTCCACCCCTGACCCAGTGTGAAGCTCACTGTTAGGCTGGCACTAGTCTCCCCCAGCATCTCATTAACACCAGCCCTTTTAAAACCGGACTCAGTGGAGATATACTTGACCAACTGTGCTGTCTGGGTGGCCTAGGAGTGGAGCCAGGGACCACCCACACCTTTTCATCTGCTTACCTCGACGCACAGACAGGGCAGAAGGAATTCATAAGGCAAGTCCACAGTGCGGCCCCCAGGCACAATTTTCTGTGGACAATTCAGCAAAGGAGAGATGAAGAGGGGCCTGAGAAAGAGCAGAGGCACCCTGGACAAGGGCAGGAAGAAGCTGGGAACTTACCCACCATACATCCTGCTTTTCCTCTTATCTGAGGCTTATTTCTTTCACTGACAAATTTCTTCCCAGGGGATCTCTGTCCTATAGTCTGACCATCTGCTCTAAGTGTCTCAATACATGGAATGTGGGGAGGGAGGAGTTGGGGAAAGGAATATACATTTATTGAGCCCCTATTGTATGCTGGGGAGGGTGCTAGGTGCTGGAAGCACCAACTCAATGCATTAAATGCTAGCATCATGATGGTGTCGGGAGGCATCATCGTTTTAAATGTGGAGAGCTGAGGGACTTGGGTACAGCATCAGTCCCTGCAAATGGCTCCAACTGTATACAAGAGCATCCATGACAACAGGAGGTTGAGGTGGGATGTCAGGCCATAGGCTGGGAGAACAGGGGACATCTCATTCTCTGAGGAGCAGTGACAAAAGAGAGGGAGATCGAAGGGTATCAAGACAGATGTGACCAATTTATTACTTTCTCAGGGAAAACAACTTCTTGATGGAACTGAAAAGGCAACCTGAATCTCACTTAGGATCATCGCACTGAAGTTAAGTGCCATATTCCTTTCCTTGCTAGGCATTCATGGTTGTCCCAGGTCTCTACCCCCTCTTTCCTTCCTCTCCTGCCAGGAGACATGGCCCCCTGTATTCTCTCTCTAGTTCAAAGAAATCTTCATGACAGGCACTTCAGACTTGTAAGAAGTCTTGGACAATTACCATTCCTCTCTGGGCCTCAGTTTCCTCATCTGTACAATGGGTAGGTCCTTTGGCTCCAGCCCTATGTGATTTGGCTTTATGGGCAGATGGCACTTCATACCTGGGCATCGAAGGGATGGCTCAGGTCCTCACACTCCAGTGCCCACTGGTGGCAAAGACGCACACTGACCTCTGGGCCTGGAGGAATGGTCACTTGAATAGCCCTTGTCTCAGGCAGCAAGTCAAAGGAGAACTCAGGTCCTGGGGAGAAGGGCGATTTGGTGGCCTTGTCTCTTGGCATTAGCACAGGCACCACTGCTTGGCTCCAGCATCTCCAGTTACATGACGTGCCTACCTCCAAGCTTCTGTGAGTTAGATCTGGAGAGACCTTCCCCTGCCCCTGGATCCACAGGCTGGGTTCTTTTGGAGCGCAGTCCCTTGTGGGAGGTGTCTGGGGCGGGGCTGGAGTTGTGAAGGCCCTTCTCAGACAGGCAGCAGCTGCTCAGCAACCTCCCCTGCGGGCAGACAGCAAGGCTGGCCTCAGGGCGGGAACCAGGCTCGGCTTCTATTCCTGCCTGTGGAGCCCGGGGCAAGCTGCTCAACATTCAAGCTTTCGTGTCCCTAACTGTGTAATGGACTGAACAGTGTACGTCAGCCACACACTCTCCCCCTCTTGGGTGACTGGAGAACAGGAGGAGAGGCCAGAAAGGGAAGGGCGGTGGGGCGCAGGGCAGGGCTGGCACTGTCAGGGGGAGTACCTGAGCAGACGCTGGCATCCTGTGTCTCCTACAGAACCAGAACTTGTAAGACTTTTTGGATTTCTGCACTAGGAGGTGGAGCCAACCCCACTGAAGACCTGCACAGGAAACAACACACTTACTATCCAGCCCTTCACAGCCCCTCCCCTATCTGGAGATGTGACCTGGTGTTGGACGGTCAATCATTTTACACCAGGGAGGGTAAATGATCCCAAACTTCTATAGTCCTGAAAGCTATGATACGATCAAAGAGAATTAATTTAAGTAGAGAAAAATCTATGTGTATACAAAAATTCATAGTAGCATTCTTTATAACAGTGAAAAATTATAAACTGTCAATTCTTAAGCAGTGTGTGGGAATTTAATATGTCCCAGGCACTGAGGTAGGCAAGAAAAATGTAGAGTTGAATAAGATCTGTCTGTTCTTTCTTACAAGACAGATCTTGCCTTACAACCAGAATGTAATAATAGTAAGTTCATAGAACTGAAACATTTTAATCCCCAAAATTGGTACCAGCTGAAAGGAGAAACACCTTCACAAAATGATACAACAGAACTCATCAGTCACAGTGTGCTATTCCAGGATGGCCGAAGTCTCTGCGGAGGTTGACAACAGGACCAACATCTCTTCTAGTATGATACGTTTTACTTGGCTCACCCCAAACTCCCCCAACTCCCGTCTCCACTAAGAATGGCCCAAAGGGCTGCTTCTCATACCCGAGGGGCCTGACACCAGATGCAGGCACCAGCAGTGGGGACAGTGGCACCACCAGGCGCGTCGAGGCTTGGGGGGGAGGGGAGGGGCCGGCTGGGTGTGGTGAGGAGTCTGGGCAGACCTTCCTGTGACAGAAGAAAAGGAGGTCAGATGGTAAGGTCCCAGGAGGTCCCTTCTGCCTTAGACAAGCTGGACTTGAGGCTGAGCACTCCACTTACACCCTGGCCAAGTGACCTGAGGCAAGTTACAGACTCCTGTAAGCCTCAGCTTCCTCATTCATAAAGTGGGGCTGCTGTCAAGCTCAAGTAAGATAATGCGTGGGAAAATATCTTGTAAAGTAGAAGGTAGCGTAAAATAGGGAGGATCATTGTTGTACGACTGACTGGTGAGGGACTAGTCAAGGTGGAGGGACTGGAGATTTACCTGGCTCTCATTTAATCCTCCCCACAGCTCAGGGACAACAGTTTTCATTGTACAATCATTTCTACTGTGCTGCTGTACCCCTCAGACCCATGCACTGCCCGAAGCCATGTGTGGAGTATGTGGCAGTAATGCAACGCAAATCCAGGCTTGTCCTCACTCTAAACCCTGTGCTTTTCCCTTGATACTATGCCACTTCTTAAGTAGAGAACAAAAAATTAGAATGGAGGAAACAGGGAAGGGGAGCGGGGCAGGGAATGAGACTCACCAGTGAAACTGCCATCCTGAAAGCACAGGGCCCGGTAGGAAAAAGAAAGGACAGAAGTATAATTAGTAGAAGTTCTCACAGGGGTGTTCTCCCTGCAGCCTTGGCCTCACATCACCTAATTTTGAGACCCGTAAACCAATAGCCCATCCATTCTGGCTCTCTTCTTCCCAGCTCCACCCTGCCCAGGCCCTCGGTGCCCTGGGACTATGGCTACCCCTTCAAGATGGTGTAGAGGACACGCTGATGCTGCCATCAGAGCTTAGGAACCTGGGTGGTAGGAAAGGACAGGCAGGAGAGTGGGAGTTTATGAGCCTGCACGTGCCAGGTGTCCCCACCAGCAGTGGCAGGCGCACCTTACCATGCGGGAGGCCAGCAGACCGCGGGTTCTCCAGCGGGGAAGGAGGGGGCAGCCAATCCCAGCGGAGGCAGACAGGCCAGTGAGCAGCTGGAGGAGAGGCAGGAGCAGGGCTGCCAGTCTGGGGCTCCCCATGGGCTTCCGTGGGGTCAAGGCGCCCAGTGCATGGCTGCACGGCCCGAAGGTGGGCGACGGGGCCTGGGCCAGCTTGCTGCGCAGCAGCTGGGAGTGCAGTGCCAGCAGGAGCCCTCGCCTCAGCCTGCCCCTGCCCCGCCCTGCCCCAGAGCTCCTCCTCGATCCCAACCAGCCAGCCAGGCCACATTCCTTCCCCAAGCGCGGGGACTGGGGGACATCTGCCCCTCAGAAAACCCCGCTGCTCCCCTACCTAGAGGGCAAGGGGGCTCTTGCTCTGGCAAAAAAATAACAGGAAAGAGGCGGGTACAGGGCTAGGGGGATGGATGGCAGGTTGCATCTACTTAACCCCTCCTACTCCTGCAACACCCTGTAGATGGAACCCGCCCCTTTGCAGCTCCTGGACTTGGATCTCCCCTGGACACACGCTTCATCCTCTCACTTAGAGGGTTGACAGAGCTATCAAGCACTTCTGTGCGTTGGGTGCCAGAGACGGAGGTGACTGAGCACTATGTAGAGTGGAACAAGAAAGCACTAAAGCAGGCACATAAAGCTCACGCGTCCCCCAACACACCCTGGCCCCTACCTGGCTGACTCAGGATGACAGAGTAGCTTTCTGATGACCCACTGGCCAGTTCTTCTAGCTCTTCGCCAAAGGGCTTCCAGCTTCAACGATCCACTAATCAGTACAGTCTGCTCAGGAGGCCCTAGAGTTCAGAGCCGAGTGCTGGAGCAGGGGGAGCGGGCCCCAGGCACTGACCTGGTTTCCTGTGGTTTCCGATGCTGACGAGGCTCCGTTCTCTGTGGGGACCCTCCCTGGCGTCCCACGGCTTCCTCCAGCTCATGGAGCATTTGAGCTGCTTCAGCACTCACCTTGGGGACATACACAGTGGAAAAAAAGCTGGGGGCGCACCTACTGGGTGAAGATACCTTGGGACTGTTGTTAGCCCTCTGTACCTTTCAGTAGCTTGACTATAGCTATCTTTAGGCCAATTCTATCAACAGTTTCTAAGTCTTCAGGTCCACTGAATGAAGACCCCATTGTACCCATTATCCTAAAAATACTAACTCTTGAGTTCCTTAGAAAGATCTTTTCTTATTCTTTATGTTTCTCCAGTGCCTAGAGTGGATGTCATGAAATAGGTGCTTGGTAGTTGAGTAAATGTAAACTGTGATGTTTCACCTAAGCAGTTTACTTCACATTTCATAAGCACTTTCAGAGTTGATTCTCTTAACTACCTTACAAGACAGGTAAGTGAGAATTAAGGAGAGAAATAAGCAGAAAGGAGAATGATTTGGTCAAGGTCTCTAAGCCCAACTCCAATTCTGCCAGCCTCTCCCGGTTCCTTTCTGTTTTCTACCATCCTATGGCCTCCTCCCACTGCCTCATGCCCCTCTGCTCCTGAGAACTTCTAAGGGCCTACCTGACCAAGTTCTTCTCGCCTTGGAGCCCATCACTGCAAACAAACTGGAAAGATGTGAATGGAGGAAAGGGTGATCTGGCCATACTAAGGCTTCCCTGATAGCTCTGTTGGTAAAGAATCCGCCTGCAAGCAGGAAACCCCGGTTCGATTCCTGGGTTTGGAAGATCCCCTGGAGAAGGGATAGGCTACTCACTCCAGTGTTCTTGGGCTTCCCTGGTGGCTCAGATAGATTACAGAGTCTTCCCCCTAATTTTTCACTTAGCCCACAATGGTTTAGATCTATACTGATAATGTGTTTCTAATGCCGGGACACCACGTGAGAAAGTTGGTTCCGTTCTCAAACACTTATCTCTTTTGACTCCTTTTATCTTCTGGGCTTTCCCGATGGCTCAAACAGTAAAGAATCTGCCTGCAATGCAGGAGACCCAGGTTTGATCCCTGGGTCAGGAAGATTCCCTGGAGAAGGGAATGGCTACCCACTCCAGTATTCTTGCCTGAAGAATTCCATGCACAGGAGCCTGGCAGGCTACAGTCCATGGGGTCACAGAGTTGGACACAACTGAGAGACTAACACTTTCACTTTCATCTTCTGATTCTCACAATGAAAACATTTAACATTTGGTTAATTGTTCCCTGACGCTGGCTAAGGTACGGGAGGAGAAGTCGAAAAAAAAAAATAACAGAGACACATACACATACATAAGAAAGAAAGGGAAGAAAAAGAGCATGTATAAAAGACAGAAGGGGAAAGGAGGGAGAAAAGGAGATCTGTATTTTTTTGTTTTGCCAGTTCATTTATTGTGGAGCCTTTCCCAAAAAGGAGTTTAAAGTAAAATGTACAGTGGGTGAATTCCAGCACACCCTTGGGAAGACCAACATTTTGCTGAACTCCTACCATCAGATTCTGGGCTGTGCACTTGGCCCACATTATCTCATATTATTGGTCTATAACCCTTGAGTTCAGTCTTACCAAACCATCTTACAGACTTGGGAACACCGGGAAGATTAAGTAACTTCAGTTCAGTTCAGTTGCTCAGTCGTGTCCGACTCTTTGCGACCCCATGAATCGCAGCACGCCAGGCCTCCCTATCCATCACAAACTCCCAGAGTTTACTCAAACTCATGCCCATAAGCAACTTAACCAAACACAAAATGGAGACAGGAGACTCACCCCCATGTCTTTCTAGCTTTGTCAGAACACACTGCTTTAGGGACATCTGTGGTTTCTGGGCCCCATAGTCCACAGAAGTACTAGACTGAACGATGTGATGAGTTGGTAGGGTTAACAATGTAGGGGAAGAAATCATAATAGGTGGAAAGAATAAAGGATACATATATCTTATGGGCGTGAGTTATCAGTCATCAGAATTCTAGGGGAGTAGGGATTGTCTGGCAAGTGTCAACAAGGGAGGAGCAGGAATACTTCTGTGGTTGGAAAAGGAGGTGGCCAACTGGAGTAATGGCCACAGTGGTGTGTGGTAGGCCTGCAGCACTAGGGCCTATCCTTTTGGAAAGTGGCCAAGGCCTGTCTCACCTGTGGTTTGTGTCTGAATGAGCTGATCCAGACTTCATGCTCCAATAACCTTTACTTGGGGACCAAGCCAGGCGCTCAGGAGGTCATGGCAGGCCTTGACGTGTGCTCAGGTACAGAGTACACTGTGGGGGCCTTGGACAGCTGTTTTTCCTGACAAAGCCTTATCCATGTGTGGACTCTGGTCAGACAACTGTAGCTGGGTCTCTAGACTTTTCCTGTAATGGCAGATTCCTGAGATTTGTTGAGGCAACTGTGCCTACAATCAGAGTACCCAGGGCAAGAAGGTCCAACAAATTAGACCAACAAAAACCAAGAGCACACAAGTGTCCCTTTCTTACTCCTGCTCTTCCAGAAGGAATCATACTCCAGAATATGGAGGCAAGAAATTATGCTTAAGAGAAGGGGCTGGGACTCCCACTGTGAGAAAGAAGCATCAACACTGCTCATCACTGGAAGGGATTTTGATATTTATTAAGCTAAGCACATACTATGGCTTACACGGAGTTTCCCCAATGACTCAGCAGTGAAGAATCCGCCTACGATGCAGGAGATACAAGAGGCATAAGTTCGATCCCTGAGTCAGGATAATTCCCTGGAGGGGGACAGGGCAACCTACTCCAGTACTGTTGCCTGGGGAATCCCATGGACAGAAGAAGCCTGGCAGGTTACAGTCCACGGGGTCACAGAGTCAGACATGACTCAGCGACTAAGCACAAGCACGAACACACTTACATACATTATTGAACCCACACAACAATCATGTGTGGTAGATACTATGATCCCCCATACATTAGATCAAACATCGAGGCTCAAATCAAGGCAAAAGGAAGCAAAACGTCTAGCTAGATGAGTCAGTGTAGTATCAGAAACTGTTTCTCAACAATACCACACTGCCTTTCCCACAGACTAGATGCTCACTAAGGGTTCTTCCAATGCCTACATCCTTTAGCTCCATAAAATCAGGGATTCCTCACATTTATATAGTGTTACAGAGAGTTCTTTAAGCACTTTTACAAGATTATTTGATCTTCACAACGTTCTTGTGAATTAGGCAGGGCTGATCTTGGTATGTGAACCTGCCTTTTGACCCAATACAGTCCTCTTCCCACTAAATCAAGATCCTTTTCAAAGGGAATCTTGCTTACTTCAGGCAATACTACAACCATTAAGCAAGGGGGGAAAAGTGATTGGAGAGGCCAGAAAAGTTAGAATCCCAACAACCCAACAAGCAGAAAACCCTGTGTACATAACTCCATTATCCACTCATTTACATCTACACCTCTCTGCTCTCCAAATCCTACCCATGCATCAGTCTAGTTCTTTGCTATGACTTTAGTCTACAGTAGGACAAATCAACTCACTCAATAAATTCAGAAAGCACACTATACATTAGCTACTCAGCAAGGGGTGAGAAAAAAAATGTTAGTTCTGTCAATAGAAAAGATAAAATTAAAGTGACATGTGAATTCAAAGAAAGAAACCTTACTCCTTGAACTGAAGTAACCAGAAGGCTCCAGAATTACCATATAAACTAGGTCACGAAAGAGAAGTAAGTAGTAAAGAAGTAGAAAAGGAAAACTTTTGTTTTTTGAAAGGAAAATTTTGAAGGAAATTGGGAAATCATGGAACTGATATGGGGATTCATAAGAGGTTCTCCTGACTGAGACAGACAGTGTGTAAGAGTATCAGGAGATAAAGCAGGAGTTAAAGCAGGAGATGAAGCAGGAGTATCAGGAGATAAAGCAGGAGTTAAAGCAGGAGATGAAGCAGGAGTATCAGGAGATAAAGCACTGGGACCACACTCTGGACAGGTCTGAAAGGGATTAAGGAATTTTGGTTGTTCAGAAAACAAGGACACATAATAAGGGACTTGATGATTCACAGCTGTGCTCTTGGTATACTCATCTGCACACAGGGAGGCAGAAAGACAAATGGATATGAGGCAGAAGGCAAAGAGTTAAATTCAGGACACACTGAGTTTGAAAAGATAATCAGGACATCTAAAACTTAGGTACACAGAAGTACTGCCAGTACCTATAGAGATTGAATACATATAATGTTTATAGAACAGAGTGACTCTGGAGGGCAGAGATCTGCAGTTAGAATCTGGGTGTCATCCAGACATGATAAAGTCAAGCGGGTAAGAGCAAAGGGACACTCATCCTTCAAGCAATAAACATTTACTATGTGTCAGACTTTAGGGGGTTTAGTTCACAGATCTCTTTCCCACATCCATTTTACACTTACCTGCTCCACACCATTACATACTGTGTTCACTGGATGTTTCACAAGGATGTTATGTTTCATGGAGACTGCAAATTCCCTATATGCAGGATACTTTAAAATTCATTTGGATACCATAAAACAGTATTACACATGTAACTGACACGGTTAACACTGAATGATAAACATGAATATCCAGTCAAAAGACAAGCCATAACCCAAGCTGCATAAATGAGCATGGACCATTTTATGGGGGGAGGTTAGCCTTACGGCCCCTGGTAGCTCCGGCCCATCGGCTGCAGGGTTTCAACTATGACTTAGGTTCCCTGTGCCCAGTTCACTTCCCTGCGGCCACTGCCAGGTTTCTCAGGGAGCCTCTACCTACCTCCAAGTGTCTAAGGCCATCAAACAACAAACTTTTCACATCCTATCAAACCCCCAACACAAGGAACAGGGGGGGACTAGGCAGTTGTAACTTTATTGAGGTTCTTTTAATTAAAAGGTTTCACAGTAGAGACCAACGCCTGCAGGGGGAGCAGCCTTCCAGATGTTTCCTGCTCCATGACCCATTGATTGAAGGACAATTTGACTGATTTCCTATTTCCTTCAGTTTTGACGGGAAGGGGTGATGGATGGAAGTGGAGAGAATGACCAAGAAGACGTCAGGATGAAAAACTCAGAAGGACCTCAACTTCAACCAGCTGAAGTTTGTTTCACAGCTGTTGATCACCCAGTTCCACCACCAGCTGACGGCAACAGAAGGGGCTCTGCAGAACTCCGGTTTAGTTTGCACTAGTTGCCAACATCGCAGCCACCAAAGGAGATTTTAGAGCAGCTCCTTTACCCTCTCAGTTCACTGGGTGGGAGGCCCAAGCTTCACCTCACACAGCAGTCCATCAAGCAGGCTTCATTTACGCTTCTTCTCCTGTGTGCTCGTGAACCAAGAGTCTAGGAGCTTCTTGCTGTAGTATAACTGCCAGCCGTGCACTTGGACCGCCAGCACCAACACCAGATACATGACGGAGACGGCGGAAAAACCAAAGAGGAAGCGGTAGGCCTTGCCGTGGCGGTAGAGCTGTTGTGCAGCAGGGAACATCTCCATGCTGCCATAAATGAGGGGGGCAATGGAGAAGAGCCCCATACTGATCATGGAGAGCACCAGGTAGCTAATGTTGTTGCGGGGGAAGGAGAGGAGGCCCAGGAGGGAGGGTACAATGCTTAGCAAATAGGGGTATTCCCACTGATAGGGCATGGCCACCTGATCATGAGACAAGAGCCTCAGGTGTCCCACACTCATCTTGGCAACCAGCAGCAGCCATATGACCAGATGCACGTAGATCAGCTTCTTGATTTCATACTTGAGGGTCACACTGTGGGGCAGAGCAGAGGGAGAAGTATCTTTCATTCAGAGTTTTCTGACATCAGCTGTATGTCAAGCAATTGTACTGGACACAGGGATACAGATATGAATCTGTATCCCTGCCTGGAGGCTGGGGAACAAGGTAGAGGAAGAAAAAGGTAATTACAAATGAACTAGAAAAACTCTTGTAAATCTATGTTGCAAAATATATGGGATCACAGGAAGGAGTAATCAATTCTGACTGAAATGAGTTGACTGAGAAGGCTATCTAGACAAGGGTGATGTCTGAGCTAGGCTCTGAGAAGTAGGTGGAGATAGACATTCTGAGCAGAGGTAATAGCATGTAGGCAAAACGGCACAAACATTTGTGTTCCAGGAGAGCAAATGGCTGGGTGTGGAAGGACTACACTGTGGCAGGGAGGGGAGTAGCGGGATATGAAGTTGCAAAGACTGACTCAGTCATTTGAAAGACAGAAGAGTAACTCAGGGCTGTGTTCAGAAAGAAAACTCTGGGGAATTTCCTGGCAATCCAGTGGTTAGAACTCAGTGCTTTCAGTGCCAAGGACCCAGGTTCAACCCCTGGTCAGGGAACTAAGATCCTGCAATCTGCACTGTGCGGCCATTAAAAAAAGAAAGAGAACTCTGATGGTAGCATAGGAGTATAGCCTATGGAATGAGGTATTGGCAGCAAAGAAACCAACTCAGGCTGTCCATACTTCTTCAGGTAAATATTTTTCTTCTAAAATAAGCAAATTTTCCCTTATTCTTTGAATTTTCTTAGGTCCTAAATATATCCCCTTCACATCTCCAGAGGGCAGAGTTTCTGCTCTAGACAGGCATGAAAATGTTAGCTTGGGTTGTGAGGTTCCCTTGAACAGGGTCTAAGCATAAGAATAAATGAGGTTCCAAAGAGCTTGTCATTCTTTAAAACTCTGGAAAAAAAATAGGTGGAAAAGAGTCTGAGAAACTTAAAAGTATTTAAGGAATGAAAACCTCTAAATTAAAAAATATATGTATCTATATATAGATATAGATATTTAATAGAAAGTGCAGAAAGGTGTGTGTGTCGGGGGCGGGGGTGGGGGGGGAGATCAGTCACCTGTAGACTTCAAGCTCCATGAAGGCAGGAATCAGATTTGTTGTTTGTCAATAAATTTTTACTGAAGGTATAACATGAATACGAAGACCAGGGCTGCTTTCGCTATTATATTCTCAGTGCCTAACACAATGCATGATGGGTAGAAGGTAAATAAATATTTGTTGAACAAATAAACGAACGCAGAACTATCCCTTACAAGACGAGGGTGGGGGGGTGAGGAGGGGTGTTCCATAAAATTCATTTGAGGCAGACAAAGTCTCGGCTTTAGGTTCCACACCCCAAAACGACCCAAAATTTAACAGCTACCGCATACTGGGCAGACTTCTGTGCTAGATTTTATGTTACATACTCACGAGATTATTGGCTCACCAATTCTTCCTCAAGACCAAAAAGGTAGATTAAAGTGAAGCTCAATTAAGAATTAGGTTCCCGTGGTCGGAGAGCCGGGCCAACCAACATAACCGCGACCCAGGGCCGGGACTCCCTCAAAGTACAGGGGATCAAAGGGTGGGACTCACAGCAGTGACGGGGCTTCCCGGGATTGGGGGCGGGTCCTGGACCGTGCCAGGAGGAGGGGACTTGGGAGGTGCCCGAGAGCGGGCTGGGGAGCAAAACCCTGAGACCAGGCCGGCATTGCGTTTCTGGCCCTGCGGGCTCCTCGCCTCACTTCATACCTCATCTGGTAGTGCATGGCGACGCGCTCCCGATGCTGAAAGTCGCTGCCGTCAGTGCCGGCCGCTCGCGGGCCTGCCCGAGACGCCATCTTCCCCGCCGAGACTCCTGGAGCCCCTCAGGCCGACGAACTGCCGTGACTACTGCTCCCAACTGCCTGCCGATCCTGTTCGTATAGCTTCAGCTCAGCCAACCCAACAGTCTAGCGCTTCTTTGAAGACAACTTCCGGCCTCTCTGTCTCTGGAGGACCAACTCTGTGGTCACGTCCCTGCGCACGCGTACGCGAGCGTTTCCCGTCTCCGCTCCTCCCTGGCGGTCTCTCGCCAGGCTTTGGAGCACTCAGAAAATTAACTCATAGCGTTTGCGGTTTTCGCCAAGGGCTGGAGATAATTCTCCAGTCTCTCGAGCACGTTCACTTCCTTAAACTCGAATTCAAGTTTCAGACGTCTCTTTCCCCACTTCTCAGATGGGGAAACTGATGCCTGGAAGGGATCTGTGACTCTCTCAAGAGCATGCATCTTCCACATTGTTTCAAAGTATCTCCCCACAGATTAATCTCTGCAAGAAGAAATGGTAACTTTACAGTGAAGAAACCTGGCAGGCACCGCGTTAACTAAATACTTGCCCACGAGTGAGACAGACTCCTTATGCCTCCTGATATAACTGAGGACCAGCATCATTAATGTGATGATAGTCAAAGTCGCTCAGTCGAGTCTGACTCTTTGCCATCCATGGACTATACTTCTCCAGGCCAGAATACGGCAGTGGGTAACCTTTCTCTTCTCCAGAGGATCTTCCCAACCCAGGGATCAAACCCAGGTCTCCTGCATCGCCAGCGGATTCTTTACCAGCTGAGCCACAGGGGAAGCCCAAGAATACTGCAGTGTACCCTATCCCTTCTCCAGCGGATCTTTCCTACTCAGGAATTGAACAGGGGTCTCCTGCATTGCAGGCGGATTCTTTATCAACTGAGCCATCCGGGAAGCTGATACCTTATTTGATATTTCTGCCCAAAATAGTTGGCCAGAATCTAATCATGAAGAGACAGACAGATAAACTCAAATTGAGGGACATTCTACAAAGTAACTGGACTATACTTTTTAAAACTGTCAAGGCCATGAAAGAAATTAGGTAGAGGCAGAAAGCAGAGCAGTGGTAGCCAAGGGCTGGGAGGAGAAGGAATGGGGACGTGCTTCATGGGTACAGACATGAGAAAGAAGATGAAAAAAGTTCTGGAGGTGAATGTGCTGATGGTTGCACAACTGTGTAAATAAACTTCATGCCACTGAACTATACACTTAAAAATTGTTAATTTTATGTTATGTACATTTCACCACAAGAAAAAAATACATAAAATAAGAATTTCAAAATTACATTTACTGAAAAAAACTGAAGAATCTTTTCATATGTTGAGTCATTGGCATTTCATTTCCCTGAACTGTGTTCATATTCTTTGTCCATTTTTTCTACTGCATTGTTGGTCTTGTTGATTTATATAGATAGCAGAGATAGAGAATCTCTTATTTAATATTAGTTGCCATATATTTTTCCTATGCATTGTATGTCTTTTGACTTTACTCATGGTATTACAAGTTTAAGATGCAGAATAGTTTTTTAATATGGTTGAATATATAATCTTCTCTTTTTTTGCTTCTCAATTTTGATTCAGAACTAGAGTCCTCCACTCCAAGATGTTCAAATAATTTTATGCATTTCAGCATTTAAGAACCATGCTCAGAAATCTGCCTCCACAACTAGAGGTGAGCTCTGAAGAGATAGATATGAACCGAGTTATCAACCCAGGTGTTTGGCAAAGGGTAAAACTCAAGAAATACTCGCTGAGTACATAAATTCCAAATGATCCAAAGTCATCCTCTTCTAAGGACCATGAAGAATCCTCAGGGTCACTCAGCAATTCTTCACCACCCCTACCCCCACCCCTCTGGCTTTAGCTTGTGCTTATCTTGGTCTTTTCTGTGTGTGATTTCCATGATGTTCGTCAGACTGCTTCTGAGTCATCCATTGGCTTATCGTGAGACACTAAACAAATACTGGATGTTCAATAAATATTTGAGGCATGAATGTTCTAGGGAGGGGCCCTAACAGTTTCCCCAGAACTTCTTCCCTGAAATATCAGTACTTTTCTTCTGCTCTTAGTCTGCCTTAAAGTTTAGTGATTTGTGTTCCTGTCCTCTCACCCTGCCCATTCCCTTCTCAAATCCTTTGTACTGATGTTTCCTTTGCCTTGAATGCACCCCCACGCCCACCCCCCGACCCCAGCACTTCAAAAGACTGGCTTCCAGTCCCAGGTGGAACACAATAGACTGAATGTTTGTGTCCCCCTGCTCCACATCCATTTGTATGTTGAAACCTAATCCCCAATGTGATGGTATTTGGGGGTGGGATTTTGGGGAGGTGGGATTGTTGTTTAGTTGCTAAGTTGTGTCCAACTCTTTTGTGACCACATGGAGTGTAGCCCACCAGGCTCTCTGTCCATGGGATTTCCCAGGCAAGAATACTGGACTGGGTTGCCAGTCCCTTCTCCAGGGGATCTTCCCAACCCAGGGATCAAACCTGCATCTCCTGCAGGTTCTGGAATCTGGCAGGCAGATTCTTTACCACTAGCCACCAAGGAAGCCTCGGGAGGTGGAATCAGTGTCCTAATGAAAGAGATTCCCTTGCTCCTTCTACCAGGTATGGATCCCAAGAGAAGACAGGTGTCTGGGAACCAGGAAGTGGGTCCTCACCAGATATTGAATCTACCAAAACCTTGATCTTGGACTTGTCAGCCTCCAGAACTATAAGAAGTAAACTTTTGATGTTTATAAGTCACCAATTTATGGTTTTCTGAATAGCAGCCCAAACAGACCAAGACACTGCAGATCTTCAAAACCTTGACTTCTCACCAGTCGTCATTTAGCTGAAAGTTCACCTCTGAGGTCTTTCCTGAGCCCATAGGCCAATCTAGCTCTCCAGCCAGTTGCTGTCACATCCCTTTGTGTTGTATTCTTCCAAGAACATCATTCTCTGAAACTATCTTGATTATCTGCATATGTGTTCATGGTCCGAGTTCCCCCTTCCTCCAGGAATGTCAGCTTCTTTAAGTATGTGACAAGGTTGTCTTGTTTCCTGCTGTATTCTCAGCCCTAGGAGGGGTAGTATACAGTAAATGCCTAATAAGTATTTGCTGAATGAATGAATAATGGTTGTCTGCAAGCTTCTCTAGGGAAGGGTTTAGATGTAGTAATAAGATGGTGATGATGACAGCTATTTTTTGAGCCTGAAGGATGCACTAAGCTTTATATCAAGTGCTTTTCATGATTCTTCTTCATGACAACCCAATGGGGTAGGAGCTATTTTTAATCGCTATTGGTCAGATCCAGCTGAAGCTTAGATGAGTTATATCAGACAGCTAGTGTTGGTTGCTGGTTTTCAAAATAGGGTCCCTAAGCAGCCGCAGCTTCAGCATCACCTTGGAACCTTGGAACATCACCGTGTAATCAGAAATATACGTTCTTAGGCCCCACTGCAGACATACTGAGTCAGAAACTCTGCGATGAAGCCCAGCAATCTGATTTTTAACAAATCTTCCATGTGATTCTGACTCACTAGTGTGAAAAATCTATCATTAAAAAGTAAGATGAGGGTGAACCCCTTTTTTAAAAACAGCTTTATTGAGAGAGAACTCATATACCATACACATTTAGGTGAGTACAATCCATTGGTTTTTATTATATTTGCAGGGTTGTGTAACCTCCAAATAGATTTGGTGCAATCACCAAAATAGACGGAGATTAGATTAATAAATTAAAACATTTTTTGTCTCCCCTAAGAGAAACCCCATACCCACTAACAGTCCCCATTCCCTCTGCATTCCCCAGCCACAGCCCTAAATAACCACTGATTAATTTTTTGTCCTTATGATTTTGCCTACTCTGGACATTTCATACAAATGAGATGATACAAACATATATTAATATGTGATCTTTTGTGATTGGCTTCTTCCACTTTGCACAATGTGTTCAATGTTCATCCATGTACTGTAGCAGCATATATACTTTTGATTGACAAATAATATTCCATTTTATTCCAAAATAATAAACCACATTTTGCCTGTTATGAATAACACTATGAACATTCACGTATAAGTTTTTGTGTGGATATAGATTTTCATTTCCCTTGGAACTTCAAATATAACTCCAAATATTATGTATATGTAGAATTGCTGGATCACAGATCTTATTCTTAAGCACTACATATTTCAGCTGGTGTTAATTATTATTATTAAATCCTCTGCTATTATTAAATAATTATGTTATCAGTAACACCAATATTTGTTTATATCTATTAAGAATCTCTGTTGCAAAGCCCTTTACTTGTATTAATACAGATCCTTACCTTACCCCTTTAAGACAGGAATCGTCATCCCTGTTGAACGGATGAGAGAGACTGTGGCTCCAGGAGGTTAAGGCAGCTTGTCTACACTCAAACAGCTAACACAAGTAGAGCGGGGATCACAATTCACATTGGCCTTTTCCCTGTGCCCTCTGTACCCAATGCGATGTTCTGGGCCATACCCTGCCCCAAAGCTTTCGAAACATGCATACACCCTTCCTTTCTGGCTTTTTCTGGAAGTGAGGCTGGCCTGCCATCCCAAGGGTAAGTGCCGTACACTCAGTGCCCATGCTCTCTTCCAGCTGGGGCTGAAGGCCGGGGGAGGGGCTGCCCTGGGAGCTGGAAATAAAGTGGAGGGAGGGTTGGGCTGAGCAGGGCAGGATTGGAAGGTTAAAAGGCTGTGAGCTGGAGGTAAGGAGTTTTATATTCTGGGTTTTTTTGTTTGGGTTTGGGTTTGGTTTTGGCTCCTGGAGAACAGGTGAAGTGGGGCTTGGCAGTTTTGTGATTGGGGGTGAGGAGTGAGGCTGGAGCAAGCTGAAGGGGAAAGTGCTAAGTCAGGGCAGAGGGCTTTCCCAGTCAGGCTGGCCTGGGGAGGCCCCCACATTGTCAAAAGGAAAGACTAGGGAGGGGCCTGTGCTCCATATATACCTTGAGCTCCTTGCTCTGCACCAGGCCCGGTCTGCGGTCTGCACTGGGGTGGAAACAGGAGAGCATTTCAGGGTGAGGCACCCAAGGAGAGGTTGGAGGGAGTGTGGCAGAAGCAGACACCGAGGCCCACCTGGCTGGGAAGAAGGAAGTGCAGGATGGAGGGGAAATTCTGTGAGCGATCACAGAATGCAGTTAAACTTGGCCTTCAAGGATGCAAAGCTTTAGCCCTGGGGTGGAGGGAGGCACTGCTGGTGGAGGAACTGGCTGCAGGAAGGCTTGGATCAGGCAGGCTCAGGAGAGAAGGGCTGGCAGGTCAGCCCAGGGCTGTCGGCTAGAGCTGTGCTGCCCAGGATGGCTGCCAGCAGCTCGCAGCCCTGGTGGTTGTGTACATCTAAATCAGTTAACGTTCAATAAGATTAAAATCCAGCTTCTCAGTCATACTAGCCACACTTCAAGTGCTCAATAGCCATGTTAGGGTAGCAGCTCCAGTATCAGAACGGATATAGAACCCACCATGGTAGAAAGTCCCTTTGGCCAGTGGGAAGCCTCAGGAGGGGTTTGGATTGCTCAAGGAGCCACTGGAAAGAGCAGGCTTAGTCTGCGCGGTGCCTGGCCTGGAGGTCTCTGGACGACAGGTGAGGGAAGGTCCCCAGCACTAAGGTGGTGTGACTAGCTTCCTGCCAGCGTAAAGTGGACTCTGTCCCCAAGGACGGAAACTAACTGAGCAGGGCCTCTTCACTTCGACTCGGGCTCCCCGATCAGTGTGACGGGAGCCAGGGGTCAGAGAAACATGGAGTGAGTGGTGCCGGGGAGGGAGGCGTGGCTGCTGAGGGGGGCTGAGCCTGGGCACTGAGGGGATCTCCAACTTGGTCACAGTGATCTACTGGGGTTGGACAGGAGAAGGGCTGGGGGAGGTGTGTATGAGCTGCAAGGGGAAACCAGAGTGGAGGCCTGATAGGTGGAGGTGGGGTTGCACTGTTTCAAAAAACAAGAGAGGACTTCCCTGGCATCCATTGTTTAAGACTCCCAACTTCCACTGCAGATGGGGTGGGGTTCGATCCCTAATCAGGGAACTAAGACCCCGCATGCCCAGTGGGGTGGCCAAAATAACTTAAAAAAAAAAAAAAGATGAGAGAGAGAGAAGCCTCTCATCCCCTGCAATGGGCGATCTCTGCTTCCTTTCCAGGCCCAACACTACCCAGCTGACAAAGATGGAATACGCCATGAAGTCGCTCAGCCTTCTCTACCCTAAGTCCCTCTCCAGGTGAGGAAAGCCAAGTGGGGAAGGAAAGGGGAACTAACATGCTCTGTAGGGCAGACCTTGATAGAGAAGTCACCTGGCATCTTGTTCAAATGCAGATGCTGATTCAGGAGGTCTGGAGTGGGATCCTTCCACAATTCCCCAGGAGATATTAAGGCTGCTGCCTCCTCCCAATCCTCATATCACACCCTGAGTAGAAACAGGGAGTCACTGCTTAAGGTTTTGATTCTTGATCTCACTTAAAGTTCACCACAATTTCGAGAAGCGGGGATTATTATGCCAGATTAATAGGCAGGGCAACTGAGGCACAGGGTGGGCGCTCTCTTGGAGCAAATGTGTAGAGAAGCCAAGATTTGAACTTGGGTCTGCCTGACTCCAAAACCTAGGTTCCCTGCAGTCCTTTGGTTCTCCATTGTGTATCTGAGTTCAAAACTCTCTTATCCTGACCTCAGCTTTGCCGTTTCATCGCACATTACAGATGATAAGAAGGAGGCCGAGACAGGAAAGTAGTAACTGGGCATAGGCTGGGCCACCTTCTGTCACTGGCTACTTGTCATGGTCTGAGACCCGGCAGCATCAATGTCACTCGGGAACTCATTACATATGTAACATCTCAGACCTCGCCCAGACCTACTGAATCGGAGCCTGCATTTTAACAAGATCCCCAGGGGACATGTATGTCCACGAAAGTTTAAGATGCACTGATCCAGCAGGCTTTTAAGGAAGACCAGGCAGAGCAGACTGGGTGGGTGACAGGGGAAGAGGAGCATGCTGAGCTGAGCCTAGAGAACTGGGGAGTGAGCTACCCTGAGTGAGCTACCCATGCTGATGCTCCCCATGACTCCCAGGTGCACGGCAGTGAGCACTTCGGTGGTGACCCAGCAGCAGCTGTCGGAGCCCAGTGCAGAGGCCTCCAGGGCCCGGCCCTGCAGAGTAACCACTGCTGACCGGGGAGTGAGGAAGGGCATCATGGCGCACAGTCTTGAAGATCTCCATGTTAAGGTAGGCACGGGCCTGCCTCCACACAGCTCACCGTGGGGACCTTGGTTGAGAGGTGGCAGCTGATAGCTGCCTCTGGCCTTGGTGTCATGAGGTAGGACTTCAGTAGGGATGGAGTTCATAAGAAAGATATGCTCTGAAAAATACCACTGGCCTATTGTTAGTATCAGATGGTAATGCACTGCCTTCCTCCTGTCACCAGACAGACAGACTCCAGATGGGCACCATCAGCCTATTGAAGTTGCCATCAGAAAGGAAATCTTGGCCTTCCCTGGTGGTCCAGTGGTTAAGGTTGTGCTTCCAATGCAGGGGGCCTGGGTTCAATCCCTGGAGGGGGAAAGGTCCACATGCCCCTTGGCATAGAGAAAAAAAACTTTTTTCAATTGAAAAAAAAAAATTTAAAACTATTGATCAGTAAGGTTCCAGAGAGGAAACCAAGGACACATAATACTGATGGGTGGGAGTAACAGTGGGCAAGAATGACACCCTTCCTCATCTCCATGCTCCCCCTCCACTTGTTTGGGAGTAACTTATCCTAGTCATTCCTTCTTTTTTAAAAAAAAAATTATTTATTTATTCCTTTTGGCTGCACTGGGTTTTTGTTGCTGCGCAGGCGTTTGTCTAACTGAGGCAACAGGAGTTACTCACTAGCTGTGATGTGCAGGCTTCTCATTGTGGTGGCTTCTCTTGTTGCAGAGCATGGGTTCCAGGGTGCTGGGGCTTCAGCAGTTGCTCAAGAGCTGAGGCTTGATAGTTGTGGTACATGGGCTTAGTTGCTCCACAGCATGTGGGATCTTCCCGGACCAGGGATCAAACTTGTGCCTCTTACACTGGCAGGCGGATTCTTTACCACTGAGCCACCAGGGAAGCCCCTAATCATTCCTTCTTATAAAGACACCTTTCCTTCTTAAAGTCTCATTAGGATTAGGTCCCACTCTAATGCCTCACTTTATTTTTTTTTTTTACAAATAGTTTTATTCTTCCCATTTAATTCTTTTTTTTTATTTTCAAGTTTGTTTTAGCTATTCTGGGACTGGTGCACTGATTTTTGAGAAATATGCAAAGACATTTCAATGACTTAAACATAGCATTTTCAGCAACCTAATCTGGGACAATTAAATACATATATATATATATGCAGAAAAAAATGAACTTCGACTCTGGTGATCGTATGCAAAAATTAACTCAAAATGGAATCCAAGTCTAAATGGAAGACCCAACACAAAGAAACTTCCAGACAAAGTATAAGAGAATCTTTGTGGCTTTGGGTTAGACAAAGATATCCAGCTTATGGTATGAAAGGCACAATTCATAAGTAAGAAAATAGATTTCGGACTTCAGCAACAGTAAAAACTTTTGCTCTTTAAAAAGCCCTGTGAATACAGTAAGGAAAATATACACAATAATATTGTAATAACTTTGCCTGGTGATAGACGATACCTCAACTTATTGTGATGATCATTTTGAAATGTATAGAAATGTTGAACTACTAATGTTGTGTACCTGGAACTAATGCAGTGTTGTAGGTCAGTTGTACTTCAATAAGATTTTTTAAAAACAAGAATAAAGAGTTCATGAGGAAAATGAAAAGACAAGCCTCAGATGGGGAGAAAATATTTGCCTATCATATTTTGGATAAATGTTGTTCAGTTGCTAAGTTGTGTCTGACTCTTTGTCTGACTTCATAGACTGCAGCTCCCCAGGCTCCTCTGACCTCCACTATCTCCCAGAGTTTGCTCAAATTCATGTCCATTGAGCGGGTGATGCTGTCTAACCATCTCATCCTCTGATTTTCGGATAAAGGATTTGTATCCAGATATATAAAGAAAAGTATATTCATGCTCACCATTTCAAAAATAGAACCTAATTTTAAAAAGGGAAAAAATATGTGAATAGATACTTTCCAACAGAAGATAGGAATGGCGGAAAAGCACAGGAGGAGGTGCTCACTGTCATCATTAGGGAAGATGCACTTTTAAAGCACAGTGTGATGCTACCACATACCCATGCACATGGCTATAATAAAAAAAGACCAACAAGGCCAACAACTGATGAAAATGTGAACACATAGAACTTTCATACATTGTTGATGCTGCTGCTGCTGCTGTTGCTAAGTCGCTTCAGTCGTGTCCGACTCTGTGCGACCCCATAGACGGCAGCCCACCAGGCTCCCCCGTCCCTGGGATTCTCCAGGCAAGAACACTAGAGTGGGTTGCCATTTCCTTCTCCAATGCATGAAAGTGAAGTCGCTCAGTCATGTCCGACTCGTAGTGACCCCATGGACTGCAGCCTACCAGGCTCCTCCATCCATGGGATTTTCCAGGCAAGAGTACTGGAGTGGGGTGCCATTGCCTTCTCTTGCCTCACTTTAATGTAATTACTTCTGTAAAGACTCTATCTCCAATTATAGTCACATTCTGAGGTTTTGGGATTAGGACTTCAGTATATGAATTTCACGGGGATACCACTTAGCCCATAATACATTAAGAATCAAGTGGATATAACTGAAGGTCCAGAAATAAATCCATGTATCTGTGGTCAATTGATTTTTGACAGAATGCCAAGGTTATTCAATGGAGAAAGGGTAGTCTTTTCAACAAATGGTGCTGAGTCAATGGGCTATGTATGCAAATGCCAAAGAATCAAGTTGGATCTCTCCCTCATATTATGTATAAAATTAATTCAAAGTGGATCAAATACCTAAATGCAGAGCTAAAACTATAAAATCCTTAGAAGAAAACATAGGAATAAGGGTACATAACCTTGGTTTCTTAGATATGGCATTAAACCTCGAAGCAACCAAAGGGAAAAAGTTGGACTTTATCAACACTGAGAACTTTTGTGCATCAAAGGACACTAACAAAAAATGAAAAGATAATCCACAGAATGGGTGAAAATATTTGCAAATCACATATCTGATAAGGGTCCAGGATCAAGAATATATAAAGAACTCTTAAAAGAGGATCTACTCGAAAATGGCAAAAAATCAGAATAGATGTTTTTCCAAAGAAGATGTACAAATGGCTAATAACACATGAAAAGATGCTCAACATCCTTAGTCATTAGGAAAATGAAAATAAAAAACACTTCATAACATTAGAATGGCTAAAATGAAGACAGATAATAACAAGTGTTGGTAAGGATGTGGAGAAGTTGCTAGTGGGAATATTAAATCATGCAACTGCTTTGAAAAACAGGTTGGTAGTTCTCTAAGAAGAGTAAACATAGTTATTACATGACCTAGAAACTCTAATCCTAGGTATATATCCAGGAAAATTGAGATGATATGTCACACAAAAATGGGTACATGAAAGTGCAAAGCACCATTATTTATGATACTCAAAAAGTAGAAACAACCTATATGTTCATCAATTGAAGAATGGATTAAAAATGTAGCATATCTATTAAGTGGAATATTATTCAGCCATAAAAAGTAAATAATCATGCTGAAACACAGATTAACTTTGAAAACTTGCTAAGTGAAAGAAGCCATTTATATGAAATGTCCAGAACAGACAGATCCATAGAGACAGAAAGGAGAGGTTGCCAAGGGTGAGGAAATGAGGAGTAACAGTTAGTGGGTACTAGGTTTCTCTTTGAGTAAAAATGGGATTGAAAATGTTCTGAAATTAGATAGTGGTGATAGCTGGAGAACTTTGTGAATATAGTAAAAACCACTAGATTGTGTACTTTTCAAAGAGTGAGTTTTATGACATGTGAATTATATATCAATTAAAACTTATATATGTGATTCCCATTATATTTTTATTGGACAGCACTATTCTAGAATATTAGCCATGAAGTCAGATAAGGAATACCATGACATAGGTTCTTTGGATGGTGACCCCACAGCAAGAACTCTGGGTTTCAGTCCCATCCTATAAAACCCGGCTCACTCATTCTGTCCCTGGCAGCAACCAGCTCTGTGGCTCCATATGACGGCAAGAGCATCACTTACCTTATTCCCCAGGTCCGGGATACCCTGATGCTGGCAGACAAGCCTTTCTTTCTGGTGCTGGAGGAAGATGGCACAACTGTAGAGACAGAAGAGTATTTCCAATCCCTGGCAGATGACACCGTATTCATGGTCCTCCACAAGGGGCAGAAATGGCAGCCCCCATCAGAACAGGTGACATCCCACCTGCGTGGGAGAATATTGGGAGCTTAGGAGAAATCCTTGAGGGATGCCAACCACACGCTTGTCTTGATGCAGAGCACTAGGTACCAGCTTGCCCTCTCCCGCAAGCCTGCCAAGATCGATGTGGCCCGAGTAACCTTCGACCTATACAAGGTGAACCCACAGGACTTCATTGGCTGCCTGAACATGAAGGCAACTCTCTATGGCACATACTCCCTCTCCTATGATCTGCACTGCTCCGGGGCCAAGCGCATCATGAAGTGAGTGAATTGGGATTAGCTGGGGCTGGGGTGGGTACACAGCAATGGGAGCGGCCCTATCTTCTCCCATGCACCCTCAGCCTTCTGGGAGCCTGGGACTGGTGTTGATGCTGACAAACCATGACAGTTAGCATTTGTCTAGGACTTCATGGCTGCGCTCATGTTTTAGTTTATAGTAGTGTATACCAAAGGGATTCATACACTCCTGCTGGTGGAATCTGGATACATTTAGCTTTCCTAACCACCTTCCACTATAACAACTAATTATTTTTCACCTAAAGTAGTAACTTTTCCTAGGTAATCTTCTAATCAACTTTTAAAAAGTGAACATGTGTCAAAAATTTTACTGAACCCAATTAAGGAGAGAACCAGCAAGAAGTTACAATCAGTTCAAAATCCCACTCCTGTATAGATTCATTAAGAATGCTGACCTAAATTTATAAATACAAACCTGGATTTTTCCATGGGTGTGGGAGGGATGAAATAACTGTCCTTCCATAGATCAGAATTAATCTGCAGTTTATAGGTAATCATCATTTATATATCTAATACATTTCAAAAAAAAATCTTTTTATTTTACTTTTGAAAGTCTAATCAAGTATTGAAGGAAGCATGGGAATATGTTATTAAAGTACAGGTATGGTGGTGGTTCCCAAATTCAGTTGCTCCAAGCGGTGCTCTAGAGAACTCTTACCCCATTAAGCAAATGTAGCCAACTAGTTCAAAACCACAAAGCTGGCCTCTTGCCGGTTAGTTCTGACAGATGCCTCTTCCCAGTTGCTTCATTTACTGTTTACTGAGCACTCTCTATGTGCCTGACCCTATGCTGTGAGCTGGAGACGCAGGGATAAACAAGAAGTCAGAGCAAGCTCCCAGAGGGCAAGAATTTTTGTAGCCTCCAGTTCCTTGGTGAATGCTGTGTCAGCTGGTAATATAGCATTAATTCAAATAATGGGAGAAGCAATGAAGATACGTATGAATTGTCATTCACAGTGGGCTTCTGAGAAATCCTCCTCTGGGTCTCCAGAGTTCTGCCAGAAGGTATGAGGCTAGAGCATAGCAGACTTTCTTGGCTTTCCGAGTTTATTCTCTGCATTTGCAGTCTGCAATGAGGGACCTGAGGCTGCGGGGTCCTGCCTGCCGCAGATGACACTCAGTGGCAGGCTCAGGCCTGGGTCTGTGGCAAGACGTTCCATTTTCCTCCTGCCCCATATCATGTCCCCTCTTGATCTGGGCTTGCTGCCAACAGTCTGCAGGTTGCAAAATCTAGAGCAAGAAGTTTCAGTCTTTAAACTCCATCCATCTAGGGGAAGTGGGACTCTGACCTAAACACAGTAAGGCATACTGGTACCGAAAAACAATAATGATAGCGAGCTGGAATCCCTGGAATGATTTAAGGGTGTCACTAAAGTGTTTTTTCTTTAATGGTGATAAAATAGACATACCATCAAGTTTACCATTTTAACCACTTTTTTTTTAAGTATAAAATTCAGTGACATTAAGTACATTCATAATATTGTGCAATGGTCACTTGTACATACATTTCCCAGAACTTTTCATCATCCCAAACTATAACTCTGTACCCATTAAATACTCACTGTGTCCGCCCTGCCCAGCCATACTTACCTCTGTTCTCCTGGCTCTGTTAATTTTCTTATTCTAGGCAACTCATGTAAGTAGGATCATACAACACATGCCCTTTGGTGTCTGGCTTATTTCACTTAGCATCATGTTTTCAAAGTTCATCTATATTGTAGCATGTGTCAGAATTTCATTCCTATCTATGTCCAGATGGCTAGTTTGAAGCCTCAAATCTCTAATCTGAGAAATGGGTATTCTTCTCGGGTACAGCCTTTAAATTTCTGAAGGATTTTCCTGTACAGATGTTCATGGTTCAAACTGTCTTTCTGTCCCCCTCCACCTCAATCATAAGTTTCATTTATTGAATGAAGGTTAACAGAAGACAAATTTTAATACCAGCCAGGAAGAATTCATTTTCCTTTTGTTTTCTTCTCCCCACTAGGACTAGACACCCGTGGTGACCCTCTTTCAAACAGATTTGGATGAGAATTTGGTTAAAGTAGTCAAGCACTCAACCACCTAGTCTTGACCCCACGTCTCCCCTCTTCTTCTACACATCAGGCCCCGTATTAAATGATTTATATTATTTCAACCTCCTTAACCCTGTGTGGGATCAAAGTGGTGTGACCAGATGAGGGTGCTGCAGCTCAGAGCTATAGCAGTTTGCCAAGCTAGTCACAGCCGGTGAGACTGGGTGAGAACTCAAGCCTGTCTGACTGGAGTTCTGTCAGTGCACCGCAGCGCCAGGCAGGGAGATCTTCACATCTAGCACTCTGAAAACTACCTAGATTACAAATGTCTTGGTAACACTTCTGTCTAGAACAGAGGTGGTGAATGGGCAGAGTCATGTGACGTAGATCCATCTGGCTGATCCAAAGTTATTAGATCCATCTAATCATCTATCTGGCTGATCCAAAGATCCAACAGTATTAGAAAAATTAATTGAATTTTGCAGGAGAATACGTAGTCATCTCAGTTAAGGCAGACCCTGTCCCATCTGCTGAGGGAAGGCAACATCTGTTCTCTTTGCACCTCACTCTGCAGTTTATGAAACAGAGCCTGGGGGAGCAGGCATTTAGAGGAGGCAGGAAGGGGTTTTCTTGGTGTTCTGACCCTAACGCCTTTGCATTCCACCCAGGGAAGCTCTCCGCTGGGCCCTCTTCGGCATGCGGGCCACAGGCCACATGCTCCTCGGCACCTCCTGTTACCTGCAGCAGCTCCTGGATGCCACAGAGCGGGGACAGCCCCCCAAGGGCAAAGCCACATCCCTCATCCCAACCAGTCTGAAGATGCTGCAGTGAAAGCCCAGCCAAGGACCAGACCGGGGACCCCATGCTCAGCCGGTAGCACCCACAAGCCTGGCAGCTTAGAGAGCTTCTTACCTTCCCACATCTCCCTCAGCTCTACGGGACCATGAATGAGGAAGTGGGGGGAAGGGCCTGAAACCCGGGCTGGGCCAGCCAAGGGAGAATGGAGGGCTCTTGGCCTGGCCTGACTCCTTCCTGCCCCAGGTAGCTTAGCGGACTAAGACTAGTCACTAGCAGGCAATGGCAGGGAGGCTGCCCCTCAGCAAGCTGTCTTCACATGCTACTTTCATTACACTACCTGCCTCCCAGTCTCTCATCTCAAATGCTCCTGAGTCAACCCACTTGTGTAAGATATTACAGCAATCACAATAAACTATATATATGCTGATACATTTTCTGTGCTTCTGTTCTTTGCAAGGTGAGAGTAGGGTTCTATCTGGAAAGGTCTAAGGGAAGACAGAACTCTGTTGTCAAACCATTCTCCATAATGTGGGGTTATAGGAAATAGCACTTTTTCCACAAAAAAACAAAAACAAAATTGCAGTTAATTCTGAAACTAGTACTAGACTTAAGTAGACTGTAACCAAGATGGTAAGTGACAGTTTCCAAGTAAATTTGCCTACCAGAAGGGCTTTGATTGGGAACAACAAAAGACCTAGAATTGCCAAAGCAATAAAAGAATAAAGCTGGAGTTATAACCCTCCCAGACTTCAGACAGTGCTACAAAGCTACAGTAAAACAGCACAAAATAGGCACAAAAACAGACATAGGGATCAATGGAACAGAATAAAAAGCCCAGAAATAAACCTGCACACCTACAGTCAATTAATCTTTAACAAAGGAAGTAAGAATATATAATGGAGAAAAGACAGTGTCTTTAATAAGTGGTGCTAGGAAAACTAGACAGCTCCATGTAAAAGAACAAAATTAGAGCATTCTCTAATACTATACCCAAAAGTCAACTCAAAATGGATTAAAGACCTAAATGTAAGACTAGACATTATAAAACTTCTAGAGGAGAACATGGGCAGAACACTCCTTCACATAAAACACAGCAATATTTTCTTTGGATCCATCTCCTAGAGTAATCGAAATAAAAGCAAAAATAAACAAATGGGACCTAATTAAACTCAAAAGCTTTTGTACAGCAAAGGAAACAATAAACAAAATGAAAAGACAACCTCTGGAATGGGAGAAAATATTTGCAAACAATGAGGCCAACAAGGGCTTAACCTCCAAAATATACAAACAGTTCATACAGCTCGACATAAAAAAAAAATCAAAAATTGAGAAGATCTAAACAAACATTTCTCCAAAGAAGACATACATATGGCGAATGGGCACATGAAAAGATGCTCAACATTGCTAACTATTAGAGAAATGCAAATCAAAACTACAATGAGGTATCACCCCACACCAGTCAGAATAGCCATCATCAAAAAGTTTACAAATATAAATGCTGGAGAGAGTATGGAGAAAAGGGAACCCTCCTACACTGTTGGTGGGAATTTAAATTGTGCAGCCAACATGGAGGACAGTATGGAGGTTTCCTTACTAAGGGCTTCCTGATAGCTCATTTGTTAAAGAATCCGCCTACAATGCAGGAGACCCTGGTTCGATTCTTGGGTCAGGAAGATCCTCTGGAGAAGGGATAGGCTACCTACTCCAGTATTCTTGGGCTTCCCTTGTGGCTCAGTTGATAAAGAATCTGCCTGCAATGCAGGAGTCTTGGGTTTGATCCCTGGATTGGGAAGATCCCCTGGAAAAGGCAAAGGCTACCCACTCCAGTACTCTGACCTGGAGAATTCCATGGACCGTATAGTTCATGGGGTCGCAAAGAGTTGGACACGACTGAGCAACTTTCACTTCACTTCACTTTAAAAAACTAAAAATAAAGTTACCATATCATCCAGCAATCCCACTTGGGAATACATCTGGAAGAGACAGAAAATTTGAAAAGATACACGTACATAACAGCACTGTTTACAATAGCTAAGGGATGGAAGCAACCTAAGTAACCATCAGTAGATGAATGGATAAAGATGTGGTATATACATAAAATGGAATACTACTCGGCCATAAAAAAGAATGAAATAATGCCATTTGTAGTAACATGGATGGACCTAGAGATTACCATACTAAGTGAAATAAGTCAGACAGAGAAAAACAAATGTTATGATATCACTTATATGTGAAATCTAAAAACATGATATAATGAACATATTTACAAAACGGAAACTGATCTACAGGCATGGGAAACACACTTATGGACTTTCCTGGTGATCCAGTGATTAGGAATCCGTCTGCCAATGCAGGCGACATGGGCTGGAATCTGGTTCAGGAAGATTCCACAGGCTAGGGGCAACTAAGCCTCTGTGCCACAACTACTGAGCTAGCCGTCTAGAGACCGAAAGCTGAAACCACTGAGACAGGGTACCCTACAGCCTGTACCCTGCAACAACAGAAGCCTTCGCAGTTAGAATACCTTCCTTGTAGCGCAACGAGAGAAAGACAGCACACAGCAACAAAGACCCAGTGTAGCCAAAAATAAATAGATGAAATTTTAAAAAAGAAAAAGAAAACACATTTATGGTTAGGGTAAAGGCAGGAAGGGATAAATGCAAAGTTTGAGATTAACAGATACATATATACAGATATATAAAATAGATAAATGACAAGGTCCTACTGCACAGGGAACTATATTCAATATCTTATAATAACACATAATGGAAAAGAATCTGATATATATATATATATTAGATATGTATTCTTGAAAATATATATAATTGAATAACTTTGCTGTAGACCAGAATCTAGCACAACACTGTAAATCAGCTATGTGCTTGTGCTCAACTGTGTCCAAGTCTTTGTGATCCTGTTGGCCCCAGAGGGCCCACAGGCGCCTCTGTCCATGGAATTTTCCAGGCGTGAATACTGGAGTGGGTGGCCATTTCCTGCTCCAGGAGATTTTTCCCACTCAGGGATAGAACCCGCGTCTCTTGCATTGGCAACCTGATTCTTTACCATTGAGCCATCTTGAAATCAACTATACTTCAATTTTTAAAAATTTTTTTAAAAAAGAAGAAGGGCTTTGATTGGGAGGGTGGGATGAAGGCACTCTTCTAACTTCTCAATGTTATATTTTATTACAATCTTTTAAGTGTGTAAGTGGGACAGGACTAGTCAATCTGCAATGCAACTCTCCATCGAAGCCTTCCTACCTTGCTGGACAGTTTTTCTTTTGTGTTCAGAAGGTTCAGTCTTAGGATTTCAAAATGCACTCTTGGGTAGCCACAAAGTATTAGTTTCTCAGCGAAGGTGGCATTTTTCAGTATCGGGCAACTCAAACAAGACAAGCATGAAAGGCTAAGTTTTTAGGTGAATGTGCTTTAGTCTGTCTCTCAGATTCAAATATGTGTCATTTCTGACTAACTATAAGACCTACCTGGCTTAAATACTAAGACAAAGGCCTGTGTTACCAAAGTTAAAGTGTAAAGGGTTATTTCTGGCAGCTGACCCATTCCCTGCAGCCAACCCATACCTTGCAGCCATGTGTAGGAGAAGCTGCCAGAGCTAGCAAAGAACATTTCTATTCTGGGCTTTCCTGCTCTTGCATTTATGGCTGGAGGGCTGGCTCAGTGCTGTCCTGGGTCCATGGGGTGGGCCTTTGGCATGAGGCATGATGTTTACATCAGCAGAGAAACTATTCCCTTTCAACTCTTGCTGAGGCTGTGGCCTCCCTGCTCTTCTTCTGAAGTTAGTCATAAACTGAGTTGGGCTGGAGGTGGCCCAACTTACCTTCCTCCTGACAATCTGAGTTTCACATGTGAGTCTTAAATGGCTCATCACTGTTTCTTTGCACTGAGCCCTCTCAGCCTAGGGAAAATTAGGTTTCTTTCTTTCCTTCGGGAAGCTTGGAGATTAATGGAGTCACATCAGTTTTAGGCAGTGAACAGTAGAGGGCAGACTTTGATGAGGCTGGGGCGTGTGGAGGGAAAATTCCAAAGAGCAAGGGAGCTCAAGCCTCAAACAGGGCCAGGGGCCAGTCCAAGTGGGGGAATGGCCCTTCCTGGGGCCAAGCTGGGCCAGTGGAGGAGAGGTCTGCTGTCGGCAAAGTAGGTTGTGTTCTGTCCCTCCGTTTTTATTCAGGCTGCAAATTATGAATGCACAGGAGATCTTTCAGAAGAGGGGTTCTAAAATACTGTGGGGCCTTTTGACACAGCACACTTATGTCTTAGCCCCAAACAAGATAAAATCACTTGCATCCTTGCCAAATTTCTTGCCAGTCCTGTCTGAATTTGTGCAGATTTATTTAAAAATTGACTATTTAGGGACTTCCCCAGCAGTCCAGTGGTTAAAAGACTCCACACTTCCACTGCAGAGGGTGTGTTTCATCCCTGCTCAGGGAACTAAGATCCTTCATGCCGTAGTGCCAAAGGAAAAAAAAAAGAAAAGAAAACTTCTTGAACTGAATAAAAATGAAAATACAACACATCAACTTAAAAATTATTTTAAAAAATTGACTACTTAAATCTTTGAATTAAAAAAAGTAAGTTTCTTGAGGTATAATTTACATCCAATAAAATCTACCCTTTTAAGGTATTTAGTTCAGTAAGTTTTTGGCAGATTTATACAGATATGTAATCATTGTACACCAAAAAGTTCCCTTATGCCCATTTTTAGTAGATTCTCATTCCCTCACCCACTCTGGCCCTTGTCATTGTCAACCAGACTTTTCCGAAAGGTCATGTAACTAAATTCGGTCTTTTAAAATCTTTTACTTCTACTTATTTTTATTATTTAAAAAAATTTTTAATGAATCATAGTCTTTTATATTTTGGCTTAGTTTTTTTTGTTGTTTTGGCTGCATGCCCTGGCATGAAGGATCTTAGTTGCCTCTTTGTTAATCTGTTTCCAGTTCACAGATGCCAAGGCATAGCACAGAGTTAGCATTCAAAAAATGTTGAATGGGTGAATTTATGTCCTTACGCATCTAATCACAGGACAATTTTACAGTTTTGAAATTTATTTTTACCTTTATAAATAATGCTGTAGTGAACCTGTTTCTGCCTTTGGCTTTTTTTTTTTTTTTTTCGCTTTTGGATTATGCACCAGGCTGTATTCTTTGAAGTAGGTTCACTGGACAAACGAGTGCGGATTTTGTTTTATTCCAATTTGCCTTACAAAATTGTGCAGTGGCGGTTTTTTATTTTTAAGTCAGAAGACTCCAAAGAATTGCAGTGATGAGCAGAAAACCTAGCTTTGTGCTAATACCGGTCCTCTGACCTGCAGTAAATACTTCCTCGGCTCTGTGCTTCGGTTTCCTCAAAATCACAGATCGTGAACGTTTGCATTTCCTTCCCGGGTAAAAGCAAAACTCCGCTTTCTCACCACTCGGGAGCCTCGTTATTCCGATTGACAGTCAATCTGACCAATCAGCATGCTGTGGGAGATCCCGGGGCAGCCCTTCCGGGCACAGGCACACCGTCTTCGCTCCGGAGATGGGTGGTTGTCGGGTTTTGGGTCAGGCCTGGGGTGGCTGGCGGCGGGGTCTGGGGATCCGTGCAACGCCCACAGCCGCAGGCTTTGGCACCAAGGCCCGGTGATTACACAACCCCCGCCCCGCTTTGTGTAGAAGGGAGACGGGCTAGGGGAGGTTGTGTGCGGGATCTGGAGTTAGGTAGATATGGGTTCTAATTCATCTCTGCTGTATGACACTAAACTAGCCGTCGACCTCTCTGAGCCTCAGTTTTCTCTTCTGTACATTGGGGCCAATCGAACCCGAGATTTCGGGAAGCTCAATCCAGGCTTCCTGGAGCATTCAAAAGAAGCCGCAGGGTTTGGGAAGATGTGTGTGGAGATAAGAATGAGCGGCACCACCGGAAGCAGTAATTCCCCTATTGTTTACCTAGCCTTCCCAGGCATCAGCTGCAACGTCGAGGCGCCAGCAAACCGTCGGATCCCCCGGGTGACCAGCCTTTCCCAGGACTACTGAGACCAGAGACCTTCAGTCGGGAAGAACTGGTCGATGTATTGAGGGCGGCTGTGGTGGACCGTAAAGGTGAGGGGTGGGAGGGACAGGTGCCGAGAGACCCGGAAGGGGAGGAGTCTTCACCCGAGCCTTCTGAGGCTCTGGTTCGGTACCCTACTAAAACCTGTGGGGTCAAATCCTGGTTATCCCTCTCACGAACCTCACTAGCTGGGACCAGCCACATACTCTCTCTGCCTCAGCATCATGGGATACAGCTGTGGGGAGGGAGAGTATAACCAGAGAGCTTTGCACTAGTAGGCTCTCAGTAAAGTGTTAATATATTGAGGGACAAAACGGGCTTTGGAGTCATATCTAGCTCTGTAATCAGCTTGCTGCGTGGCTTTAGGAAAATAACAATGTCTCTATGCCTCAATCTCCAGTGACTTATGAATTTTCTCAGCTATTTATTGAGCATAGGCTGTGTTCCAGGCACTGCTCTAGAACATGGCTGTCTACTGCTGAACAAAATAAATATGGTTCCTGCCTTCAGGGAGCCAGCATTTCAGTGGGAGAAAATGATTAACCAGAAAATAAATGAAAAAAGTACTTACTAGTGATCGGCACTGTTAATAAAACAGCGATGGTAAAGATCTGCAAGAAAGGAGCAGACATCAGATTGGAGACTCAGGCCTCTTTGTGATGATCACATTGGAGCCATGATGATATAAGGAGCAAGCCACATGAAAATCTGAGACACGGAAAGCAACAAGTGCAAAGGTCCTGAGGTTGAGGCAGCAAGCTAAGCATATGCAAGGTTCAGAAAGAAGTTTATTTCAGGGTGTGGTTGATAACTCCTGTATGAGAGTTGTATTGGGACCACATGATAATATGAATTGAGAAAGTCTTTGTAAACTGCTTTTGCTGTTGCTGACGTTTATGTATTATATGTTTCAGGACCTCTGGTGACACTGAACAAGCCACAGGGTCTGCCAGTGACAGGTATGGCAGGGAAAAGAGATGCAGTGAAGGGGGTTTTGATGTGTCTGAGAGCAGACAATATTGAAGAGAAGGGATGTTGTCTCTGAGAGCAACTTGTAGTCTTCCTTTTTTTTTCCATAGGAAAACCAGGAGAGCTGACGTTGCTGTCAGTGCTGCCAGAACTGGGCCGGTCCCTGGGGCTCGGGGAGCAGGAGCTCCAGGTTGTCCGAGCATCTGGGAAGTAAGTGGTGGAGGTGATAGGAAGGTAGGAAGATAAGCATCTATTTGGGATGGGGGCAGAGCTACTTAGAAATAAACAGACATTTTCCACTGGCTGCTTTGGGATCACAGAGGTAGGAGACAAGGAAAAAGAGGAGGAAGTGGACAGATCTGGGTTCAAATCCTTATGCACAAACTAATCCTAGGTGTAACTGAGCCTTAGTTTCTTTAATCACAAAACAGAACTTATGACATCTGTGCCCAGTGTATAGTCACTTCTCCAGTCCAGTATTCATAGCTGGCATTTTTAACTGATCTGTGATATTCTTTCCTCTAATACCCATTGTTAGAGATGGTGCTTGAGATAAGATGTTTCTGCAATTGCACAAACTCATAAGCTTGTTTGTGGGGAATTGAGCCATTCCCTTCTCCAAGGGATCTTCCCAACCCAGGAATCGAACCCGGATCTCTGACATTGCAGGCAGATTCTTTACCACCTGAGCCACCAGAAAAACCCATTTAATAGCTAATATATGTGAAATTCCTAGTAGAGGGCCTACTGGCAGACAGACAGCAGTTGGTAACTGTTATGACGTTTGGCTCTGAGCTCCCTGGGAGCCAGAGCAAAATGAGAAACACGTTTAAGCTATGTACCCTTATTATCAAACACGGGGAAGACTTACTTATTTCTCAGGAGGAGGTCTGTGTTGTAGCCCAGATGTTACTCTTCGGTCTTCAGCAGGTCCGCGTTTCTTCCTCAGGGTCTCCTTTCTTTGCGGGCAATCCCAGGGGATTTTAACTTCTGTGATTTGTCTCCTTTCTCCAGGGAGGCCTCTGGGCTTGTGCTCCTCTCCAGTTGTCCCCAGACAGCAAGCCGCCTCCAGAAGTTCTTCACTCACTCACAGAGAGCCAGGAGACCCACAGCCACCTACTGGTGAGAAGGGCTGGGAGGCTCCAGGGCAGTGGGGACGTCCCAGCAAACGACTGTGACCTCCTCCTGCCTCTTTCTCAGTGCTGTCACTGATGGGATCCCAGTTACTTCTGAAGGGAAGATCCAAGCAGCTCTGAAACTGGAACACATTGATGGGGTCCATCTCGTGAGTCAGGGCCTGGGTGGGGAAGAGGGGACCCTCAGACATATACCCCTCAAGAAGAGTCAAGGGTATAGATATGGGGTGGCTGGCCCTTCATTCCCCTAAAAAGGTGAATGACGACTGCCTATACTGTGGCCCTGTCCTCAGTCTGGTGGGAACAGGGAGGGTTGGGGGGCAGCTCCCAGGTGTGTGTGAAGCTTGCTCACTCTTGGGGGCTGACACCACAGGTTGTTCCAGTGCAATCCCCATCCCGAAAGGACATCATGGAAGGTGTCAAGAGGACCCTTAGCCACTTCCGTGTGGTTGCCACGGGCTCTGGCTGTGCCCTGGTCCAGCTGCAGCCACTGACAGGTGGGTCTGGAGCTCCAGCCAGACTTGACAAACTCTATTTGGTTGGGGAGGCAGGCGATGGGAGGAAGGTGGTAGTTTCAGTGGCAGCCTGGGAAGTCTTTGATGGACTGCAAGGATGTATGTGACCAGCTCCACCTGGAGGGGGCAGTGCTTCTCCTGTCAGTCTGACGGTCACCCCTTTGCAACTCACCTATTTTTTTTCTTACTGCTGTCAGCATCTTCTCTTTACCTTTGATGTTCTCTAGCTTCACTGTACGGAGAAGGCAATGGCACCCCACTCCAGTACTCTTGCCTGGAAAATCCCATGGACGGAGGAGCCTGGTGGGCTGCAGTCCATGGGGTCACTGAGAGTCGGACACGACTGAGCGACTTCACTTTCACTTTTCACTTTCATGCATTGGAGAAGGAAATGGCAACCCACTCCAGTGTTCTTGCCTGGAGAATCCCAGGGACGGGGGAGCCTGCTGGGCTGCCGTCTATGGGGTCGCACAGAGTCGGACACGACTGAAGCAACTTAGCAGCAGCAGCTTCACTGTGACGAATCCAGGTGTGTGGATTTAGTTTTTTTTTGGAGGGGGATTAGTTTTATTTCTTGGGATTCAGTGTGTTTGCTGAATCTGAAGATTAACCTGTTTAATCCATCCTGAAAAGTTCTTCAAATGTCGTGCCTCTTGCATCCTCCCTTTTGAATGCCTGATAGTGTCTGAGTTTCTCATTCACCTGCTATGTCTCAACTTTTCTTCCATATTTTTCATGTCTTTATCTTTGCCGCATTCTGGGTAATCTTCAGACGTACCTTCCAGCTGAGTAATTTTCTCTTCAGTTGGATCTAACCTGCTAGTTTAACCTACATTGATTGTACTGTTTGTGTCTACAAATTCAAGTTGGTTGTTTTACAAATACAGATGGCCTTTTAAAAAAAGAAGGCATCTTTTTTCTTTCACATCAAACTGTTTTTAATTTGCATAATGCTTTTAACAAAAATAGCCTCCCCCCAAAAATTTTAAAACATTTATTTACAATCTTTGGTCTTCAAAAGTTGTGAGTGTTCCTGTCTAACAGTCAGGCCTCGAGGGCTGCCCAAGTGCAGGTAGCTCTGTTACAGACCAGCCCATATTCTCTCTGCTGACTTGTGGGCCCTGGCAGGACTGCACCCAGCAAGGGAGCAGTGCTTTCCTCCAGTCCACACAAAGGCACAAGTCAGCCTGAAAATCGTGACTCAATCCTGCCAACTGCAAGGTAAATGAACTCTTAGAGTACTTCTAGACTTATTGCCTGCATTTTTTTTATTGTATTTTATTTTGCATTTTTTTTAAAGACTGATTTGTTTTTAGTTTTTGGCTGTGGTGGGTCTTTGGTGCTGCGCGTGGGCTTCTCCTGTTGCAGAGTGAGGGCTTCTCTTTGTTGTGGTGGTCGAGTTTCTCATTATGGTGGCTTCTCGTTGCAGAGCACGGGCTCTAGTTGCAGCTCAGTAGTTGTGGCTCATGGGCTTAGTTGCTCTGCCGCATGTGGGATCTTCCCTGACCAGGAACCTGTGTCTATTGATTGCAAGGCAGATTCTTAACCACTGGACCACCAGGGAAGCCCTTGCCTGCATTTTTTAACCAATGTTTTGCTCATTCTTATTAAATCAGCCTTTTTTTTTTTTTTTTGGCTGCATGGCATGGCTTGAGGGATAGTTCCCTGACCAGGGATTAAACCTAGGCCCACAGAAATGGAAGAGCAGAGTCCTAACCACTGGACCGCCAGGGAATTCCCAAAGTCCTAACATTTTTGTCTAGACTGTAATAAAACTAATGAGAACAGTATTCAAACCCAATAAAGCATGATGCTAAAATCTCTGAGATCAAGTTATTACACATCTAACCACCTTTACGGCACATACCATGGACCACCACCCTGCCTTTCTGATTTAAAGTTTTGTCTGCTCACCGATTGCTGTGGTCCATCCTGTGGTTTTATTTTTCATACCAGTAAGTAAAGGTGACCAACAGCCACTGACTCAGGTTTTTCCAAGAATTAAATGACCTGGTCAGTCTTCAGATTGCTTTGCACCTTCTCTTGCTGATCTGTCAGCTTTTTCTTTACCTATAAATCCTAAATGGCCAAGAACACACACCAACTGAAGGTCCATGCTCTGGGCAAGGCTCTTTGTTGATGAGCTCCTTCCCTGTGCTTGTCATCCATCCATTCTCCTAGCCTTGAACCCAGTTAGCGATGGCATCTGTTTTTTTCTCTCATTACTTGTTCTTGTCTTTACTCATTTAAAGCACACCTATATGGTGTTTCTATCATTCTTGTCTTGAGATTCTAAGGGTCTAATTCTGTTGTGATTTCTGCAGACTCGCTCCCCTTGGTGGAATGTCTCCTTATTGCTCTGTGGTTCAGGTTGTGCTTCATCTTCATCTGTGGAAATCCTTTACTGCCTCATTGGCGGTGGGGACTTGAGAGGTTCTGTCTTGCTTCTGCTGAGTGGGCTCACATCGCTGCTTCAGGACCTAGAGATTAACACCTCATTTGGAAGTTCACAGATCACTCAAAGTGGTATTAGAACCCCAACCCTGTGTGAGAGCAGCTCACAGTTGGGAGTTCATCTTCATTCCCCTCATCCATACCTACAGAGCTCATCTGCCTTCCTTGGTGGCTGGCTTTTTCTCCTAGTCCACCCTTGCACAGAAGATGTAGCCTCTCAGATTTCATTTGGGCACCACAGCCTCATCCCTGGCCCCTTGTCACTACTTAAACCCAAGCCCCCTTGGCCCCAAGATTGGAAATACCCCTAGAAGAGGTGAAATGTTGACTCTCTTGTGCTCAGAATTTGTTTTTTTGTATTTTCATCCAGGGGACTTTACTTTCCCCTGTGTCCAGCTGTGTATTTAAAAGGATGATTGTTACAGTTTTCCAGTGTTTCTAGGTGGTTAGTAAAAGATGGGTTTTTAAATTACACAGTCCACCCTATTGCCAGACATGAAAGTAGATGGGACAGTTCCTGGGTTTGAATCCCAGTCTGTGGTGGGCTGGTTACTTCTTGAGCTTCGGTTTTCCTGTCTGTAAGGTGGAATGATGCTAGGTCTCACATTATAGGGTTTTCAGGAGTATTAGTAAGTTTACATATGTGAACCATTTCATACCCATTAAGTTTCCCCAAAACAAGTTCAAGTTGGTATCACCCAAAAGAGCAATTTATTGACTCACATAACTTAGAAGTTCAGGCTTGTGCCTACTCTGGGGCCCACCAGCCACAACCAATGAGCCCCTGTGCTGCTGCTATTGAAGGCCTCACCCCTTCGAGCCAGCAAGTCGCAAATACCGAGCCTGCGTGCTGCAGCTCCTGAAAGCCTGCACACCCTAGAGCCGGTTTTCCGCAACAGAAGCCACTGCAATGACAAGCCCATACTCTCCACAACTAGAGAAAGCCCACATGCAGCAGTGAAGACCCAGTGCAGCCAAAAAAAAAAAGTAGTTCGGGCTTGGCTGCATCCAGGCTTGGAGGACATCATCAGAAAGCCATTCCTCCCTCTCTTTCCACCTCCCGCGTGCTGGCTTCTTCCTCCCATAGGAACAGCAGCTGTCCCCCATGGAGGCAGATGCAGGTGCTCCAGTAGCTCTAGACTCACTCAACAGCAGGAAGGAGTGCTCTTCATTCCCAGAAGCATCACAAAAAAATTCAGGGTTGTGTCTCTTCATGGATGAGTCCCGCAAAGCTGGTGGCTTGACAGCTCTGCCTGCCCCTACCTCGCTTCAGAGGCTGGGGTGGTAGTGTCCACCTCACTGAAACCACACCATCTGAGAATGGGGGTGGCATTGCCCCAGAGCAAGGTGGGGGAGGGGTGCGGCAGTACTGGGTGGGACGGAATGATTGCCTGCCTGCTTGCCTGCCAACTGTCCCATCTCTCCTGTCTTCTAGTGTTTCCCAGCCAGCTACAGGCACACATGGCCCTGCAGCTCTGCCCTGTGCTTGGGGATCACACATACTCTGCCCGCGTGGGCACTGTCCTGGGCCAGCGCTTTCTTCTGCCCGTCGAGAGCACCAGGCCCCAAAGACAGGTACCCAAGCTCACCTGCCTGCGGCCTTCTGGGGTGGAGGGATGGATAGCACCTCCAGACGTCAGCTGCACAACTTGGGCTTCCAAAGCTACCAGCGCCCCTGTCTTGCTGTGTGGCCCTGAGTGACACAATGCGGAAATCAAACCAGCTGATTTCTAAAGGTCCTTCTAAGCCTGCCATTCTATAGTGGGTGTAAGAGGTTGTGTGTGTATTCTGGTAACACTATCTGCTTTAACAGAAAAACCTCAAGTACCAGAGTATTAACACAACAGGTTCCTTCTGTGTGAAGGCCAGTTACTGGGATGGGGTAGGGGCAGGCTTTGCTCCGGTCACTTGGGTGGCCCCTGGCTGCTGCCATCTGGTCAGCAGAGGAGACAGGGCAGGTTCGTGGACGTGGGGGGCGGTTTCTCAGGCCACGTCAGGAAGCGGGACACATACTCAACACTCCTGTTGCGCTGAGTGGGGCTCAATCACGGCCTCCCCAACCTGCAGGAGGGGCTGGGGAATGCAGTTTAGCGAAATGCCTAGGAAGCTGATTTGGTGACCCCTAGCTGGTCTATGCTACTGTAGTGTGAGTGTGTGTGTGAGTGTGAAGGTATTTACATGTGCAGAGGCACGCAGAACACGGATGCAGAGGGAGGACAAAGTATTTGCCTTGCTCCTGTTTTGCTGAGTGCTGCTTGGAATTCACCTGGCTGGATGCTGACACGTCTCTCCATCCCCAGGTCCTGGATGAAGCCCTCCTTGGCCGCCTCTGCCTGACCCCCTCCCAGGCCGCCCGGTTGCCCCTGCACCTCCATCTGCACTGTCTTCACCTCCCAGGCGCCAGGCCCAGGGACCCACCCATTGAGCTTCTGGCCCCTCTGCCCTCTTACTTCTCCAGGACCCTGCAGTGCCTGGGGCTCCACTACCAATAGTCCTGCTGGAAAGCAGCTGGGGTGGGAGGCGAATGGGCTGCGGTCAGGCCCAAGAGTGTGGTCAGTGCTCAGCATGCAGTCAGACCACCATGTCAGATGCTGGGCGCTCTAGTGGGATAGATCTGAGATTGCATCCTAAGGCCATTTGCTGTGTGGTGTTGGGCAGATGACCTCACCTCTCTGGGCTTGAAATAATAAAAGTACCTACCTCACAGGATCGTTTTCAGGATTTGCTGAGAAAGAAAATGTTTATCATGGACTGTGCTTTCTGCCGAGCTCAACATGTGGTCTTTATATTTGGCTGTTTCTGGCCCAATTCTAGCTGAGAAAATGTTGAGTTTTTTTTTTTCTTTAATTTGTGCTAAAATACACTTAGTAGACTTTACCATCTTCACTATTTTTAAGTGTATAGTTCAGTGGCATTAAGTACATTCACATGGTGATGCAAGCATCTTTTGCATCTAACTGCAGAACTTTCTCATCCACCCAAACAGAAACTCTTGTTTTCCTTAAACACCAACTGCCCATCCCCTACCCACCTCAGCCCCAGTAGCCACTGTTCTCTGTCTCCATGAATTTGACTACTCATTTCGATGTTAGATCTTTTACTTTAAAAAACCATGTAACATATCAAACATACAGAATGCGTAAAACATCTCTGTGATTTAAACAATAACTGTCACGTGACACTCACATACCCACCACTTGGCACCAGAGGCATCCTTCTCCTATCTTAGAACACAGCCGTTCTCAGCCCTGGCCCCACATTAGAACCCCTACCCTGCCCCCTCAGAAAGCTTAAAAAAGAAATCCCCATGCCTCCCCTGACTACACCCCTAAGATACTTTTACCAGTCTGGGATGGAGATATCTTTTTTAAAAGCTCCAGAATGGGCACTATTATATAGTCACAGTTGGAAACCACTCCCCCCGACTTGAGAGAATTCTTTCCTTGTCTGTTTTTTTAAAGTGTTACCACATACACATGCATCCCTAAACAGTGTATTTTGTTTTGCTTGTTTCTCAAACTCCTGTGGAATGGAACTGTGCTGTATATATCCTTTTGTGACTTGTTCTCGCTCCACCCGGGAAATGCATCCGTTGTGTGGCATGGAGTTGGAATGCTGGGGCTTGCAGTCTATCCACCCAATGTTAATGGACACTTAGGTCGTCGGCTGTGACCACAGTGCTGCTGTGGGTCTGCCTGTCTGCGTTTTCTCATTCAGCCGTGCAATAATTTCTGGATCAGAGTGTGTTTATCTTGATTTGGCTAGTGTGTTAGTTTCCTAGGGCCGCTGCAATGAATTACCACAACCTGGGGACTTCCCTGGAGGTCCAGTGGTTAAGACACTGCACTTCCACGGCAGGGGGCATGGGTTCAATTCCTAGTCGGGGAACTAAGATCCCATGTGCCACACAGCGAGGCCAAAAAACAGGAAAAAAAACCTTTTTTTTTTAACCATAACCTGAATGGTTTAAAATAGCACAAAATGGATCCTCTCCCCCAGTTTTAGAGGCTGGAAGTCCAAAATCAAGGTGTTGACAGGGCTGTGCTCTACCCGAAGACTCTACGGGAGAATCTTTCCTTACCTCTTCCAGCTTCTGGTGGCTCAAGCACCCTCTGGCTTGGGGCCGCATCACACCAACCTCTGCCTCTGTCTCCACACAGCCTCCTCCTCTCTTGTCTTCTCTTCAGTCTCTTGTAAGGACACTTGTTATTGGACTGAGGCCCCATCTGGATGATCTCTTCTCAAAATCTGTACTTTAACTTACATCTGCAAAGACCTTTTTTTCCAAATAGACATATCCACAGGTTCTAGGAAGGCATACCAACATTCAACCCATTATAACTAAAGAATGTTGAGCTTTTTTCAGGTGAGAGGGGCTTGTTGGATATTTCCTTTTGAGGTAACCTGGCCCCTTGCAGAGGAAGGGATGGGCCCACTCCCTCAGGAGAGGGGCTGGGGTTTTAGCAAGGTCCACTCTTCTCCGCTGAGTCTCCTGTTGTCACTGGGTGGGAGTGCGGGGCTGTGCTTGGGGGGTGGGGGTAGTTGCTGACAGCCTCTGGCTCTTGTCCTGGGCCTTGGAGTACAGGGTCACACTATACCCTCTTCACCCTCCAACAGAAAAGGAGCCAAGCCTCGAAGACTTCATTTGCTCTTTTTTATTTGGCGTTGCATCCAGGGTAAGGGCGGTGATGATGGAAGCAAGTGCTTCTGTGGCCACGTGTCCTTTGTGCCCTCCAAACCCCGCTCTGTGATAAGGGCCAGGGGTCCTGGAAGGCTCTGTGTCGTCATGAGGTGTGTCTCGGCCTTTGGTCTGTCACAGAGTCTGGCCTTGCATTTGCCTTTGATCTTGCTCTTCCTATAGATGCTAGGAAGAGTTCCGTCTTCAAAGGGTTGAGACCACACATTACTTCCAAAGTGGGGACCATGAAGGCGCTGGGGAGCAAGAGCCTCCGTGTGAAAGGAGGGGAGAAGGAGGAGAGATGATCAGGAATCTGTTTGGGAAGGGGGTCCTGAGGGATGCAAGCCCTTCCCTTGGGGCACAGGCCAGCCTGGGGGCTACCCTCTAGCTGCGCCCTCCAGCCCTGACCCGGGTAGCCAGCACTGCCCAGCGGGATACTGGTCACAGTTTGAGGCCCACCTTTTTTGGTTTCGGGGCGTTGGGTGCCAGCTTGAGCTCAGGGTTAGGTGGGAGGGAAATCAAAACCTTGGCGGTTGGTAGAGTCATCAAGGCCTTGTCTGTGGTCGACAGGGCCTTAGTGCCCGCCAGCTTGCTGTGCTGTAGTCTGAGGACCTGCCCCTGGGGCCAGGGCACATGGGGAAAAGGCAGCTGGGCCTTGCTGTGGAGGCTTGGGAAGTGGTAAGGGGCTGTGGGAGCAAGAGGGGCCGTGAGGGGCTGGGGAGGGGCTAAGGCTGACCAGCTGCCCCTCAAGGTGTGCGTGGAGGGTGGGGAGGCAGGGAGAGATGAGGGCAGGTGGAGCCCACCCCGTTCCTTCTCCAGAGGCCATGGGAAGGACACAGGGTATGAAGTCCAACAGACCGGGTCTGCATCCCAGCTCTGCCCCTTCTGAGCTGTGCAACCTCAGGCAACTTCCTTACACTTCCTCATGGGGATCACAGCACCTCCCTCGCTAGGCTGTGAGAACTAAAGGAGCTGGTCAGGTAGTGACACAGTTTAAACTGTTATGTGCTGTACAGATATTAGTTCCTTTCCTCCAGAGGCAACTTTGCACGGCAGCAGAGACAGAATACTGCAGCAAGAAAAGTTGAGGCTCTGGAGGGAGATCAACCTGGGACTGCGCCTGGCATCTTCAAAATGAGTACAGCTGCCTCGCCACGTGACTACTTTGTGGGCAGTGGATCAGTCATTCAGTCGTGCAGTTTTTAAAAATACTTTGTAAGCGGTGGCTTTTACTTACTACCGGTGACTCTCTGGTGGGGCTGTGGGTGGGGACAAACCCAGGTGGTCAGGAGGGGCTTGGAGACCAGGAAAAAGTTGTCTTGAGGCCCTGGGGTGTTTGGGGGGAAGGGTCTTACTCAGGGCCTGTGGGTTCTTCAGACTCAATGGCAATCTGTTCAAAGAGTGGGGATGCCTGTCCCTGCTGGCTAAGGTCATGGTAAAGATGCAGCCCATCCTCGTGCTGGGGGTGTCCCACCTCCGGAGACTGGGGTGGACCTGGGCTGTGGCACTTCTCGCCTTGCCTTTCTTCCCCTTTCCAGGGGCTGAGGTGGTGGCAGTGGAATCTGGCTTCTCAGTGTGCCCCAGGCTTCTGGCCCCAGCACCTTTCCTAGGAGCTGACCTGTGGACGGGGCTTCCTGAGGCCTTGCTTTCCCCAGGGCCTCTCGGGGCCAGTAGGTGAGGGAGGGCTGGGCGGACCACCATCCGCCGGTGACACAGCGCCAGGGGCTTCTTGATGGTGGAGCCCTCTACTAGAAGCCGGATACCCACATACTGGGGCACCTCCACGGCAGGCTGTGGGGAAGAAGGGGAGACAAGGTCTGCTAAGACCATGGTGCTAGAATCCTAGGTCTAGAAAGACTTAGGGCAGGGGTAGATGGAATTAACTTCTGGGGCATCTGGTCAGGAGACATTTCAAAGCCCGTCTCTGTCCTCTAAGGGGTCTGAATCAGTACTTGGAGGGTTACAGAGCCCCTGAGATGAATAAACCAGCTGAGTGGGGGGTGGTCTTAGCCAGGCCCCCACCTCCACCCCTCGACCCCCCTGCCCTCCTTAACTCCCAGGCTGGGAATGTGTGTGCTCTCCTCCACCAGCTGCTGTCAATGGACAGCTTCCTGAGATGAGCCAGATTCCTTGCTGAGAGCATGTGAATTACAACACCCAGACGGATAAGAGGCCTGGAGCCTGCCTAAACTCTCATCTGAACCAAGGGAAGCAGAACCTTAAAGAAAGCATTCTGTGGAGAGAATGAAGTTGCAAATATACAGAGGGAGGCAGAGAGAAAGATCCAAGAAAGAAGCTCCTGGACCATGTTCGGTTCCTATTAAGCCGAGCTGTACTTCTTGCACTGGACACAGAAGAGCCCCTCTATCTTGCTAGGAACACTCCTGTTACCCTAGAGCTAGGCTGAGGGGTTTTCCATGTCATCAACAGATCCTGATTAGAACCTGTCTAAACATCAGTGTCATTTGGGGCTTGTTAAAAATACAGATATCAGGAGACGTCCCTGGTGGTCTAGTGATTAAGAATCTGCTTTGCAATTCAGGGGACGCGGGTCCAATCCCTGGTCAAGGAATTAAGATTTCGCCTGCCATGGAACAACTAAGCCCCTGGACTGCAACCACAGGCTGCACGCCACAACTAGAGAATCCGCGCCCTGCAGCAAAAGATCCGCAAGACATAATGAAAATAATGAAGATCCCACATGCCACAACTAAGACATGAGGCAGCCTAATAAATAAATATTTTAAAAATTTACAGATATTAATGGCCTACTGTATAGCACAGGGAACTATTCAATATCCTTGGATCAATCATAAAGGAAAAGAATAGGAAAAAATGTATGTATATGTGTAACTGAATCACTCTGCTGTATAGAAAAATTAATAAAACACTGTAGATCAGCTATACTTCAATAAAAAAAAATACAGATATCAGAGCTCATGGGAAGCCCAGCTGAAACAGACAAGCTCACCTTTATGGAAGAATCTCAGCTCATAAATGCAGAAAGAATGATAGAAATAGCAATGTACCATTCTGTGACTCTAACAGAATAGCAAGAATCAAAACTGAGTATCAAAACAAGTAGGTGGAAAGGATGACAGGAAAATGTGTCATCTGCACACTGCCAAAGAATCACCTTACAAAGCAAATGATCACTGCAAAGCAAAGCAGGCAACTTACCATGCAGAGATCTCGTAGCATGACCTTAACCGCATGGTCAGACTTAGCATCACCAATCACGAGACAGTCTGACAATGGGTGCCTTGTGATGCTGTATGAGGCACCCAGTATCACCTCTCAAGTGTTCTTGACAAAAATGTGTAATCTGAACCTCATCAAGCTGTGTGACCTAACTTCTAGTTTATAGGACATTCAGATAACAGAAGTTAGACACCACCATGAGGAAACAATCAGGTAAATCCAGAATGTGGGACAGTTCCATAAGACAACCAGTCTGCCTTCAAAAGATCCAAATATGGGTGGGGAAAAAAGCAGTGGGGCTGTTCTAACTTAGAGATTAAAGAACATCAAAGAAAATAAAATACCAGGAATAAATTTAACCAAGGAGGTGAAAGACCTGTACACTACTGATGAAAGAAACTGAAGATGACACAAATAAATAACACCCAAAGGAATCTATAGACTCAATGCAATCCCTATCAAAATTCCAATGACATTTTTCACAAAAATAGAAAAATCAATCTCCAAAGATGTATGGAATCACTCAAGACTTCCGAATAGCTGAAGAAATCTTGAGAAAGAACAAAGCTGGGGGCATCACACTTCCCTATTGCAAACTACTGAGTTGGCCAAAAAGTTCATTCGCCGCCCCCCAAGCACATATGGAAACTCAAATGAACTTTTTGGCCAAATCAATGTATTACACAGTTATAGTGATCAAACAGTATGATATTGGCATAAAAACAGACACACAGATCAATGGAACAAAATTAAAACCCCTGAAATAAATCCACACATTTGTGGTCAAATAAGTCATGACAAAGGAGGCATGAATATACAGTCTCTTAATAAATGGTGTTGGGAAAACTGGACAGCCACATGCAAAAGAAAGAACCTGAACCACTATCTTATACCACATAGAAAAATCAGCTCAAATGGAGTGAAGACTTGAACATAAGACCTTAAACCATAAAACTCCTAGAAGAAAACAGGCAGGAAGTTCCTTAACTCAGTCTTGGCAATGATTTTTTGGATTTGGCAACAAAAGCAAAAATAAAGAAACTAAAAATCTTCTGAACAGCGAAGCAAATCAACAAAAACCAAAAGACAACCTACCAAATGGGAGAAAATGCAAATCACTTGTAAGAGGTTAATAACATATAAAGATATAAAGACAATCTTTTTTTTTCCCCTATGCCATGAAGCATGCAGGATCTTAGTTTTCCCAATTAGGGATCAAACCCACACACCCTGCAGTGAAGTGTGAAGTCTTACCCACTGGATTGCCAGGGAAGTCCCCAAAATATATAAAGACAATCTGACTAAAAAATGGGCAGAGGATCTGAATAGACATTTTTCAAAAGAAGACATACAGATACATGAAACAGGTGCATGAAAAGGTACTCAACATCACTAATCATCAGGGGAATGCAAATCAAGACTACAAGAGATATCACCTCACACCTGTCAGAATGGCTATCACCGAAAAGACAAAAAATTACAAGGGTTGGCAAGGATGTAAAGAAAAGGGAAATTTTGTGCAGGTTGGTGGGAAGGTAAATTGGTGTGCCCACTATGGAAAACCGTATGGATGTTCCTCAAGGAGTTAATGACAGAGCTACCATATGATCCAGCAATTCCACTTCTGGGTATTTACCCAAAGGAAATGAAAAACCATTTGAAAAGATATCTGCAAGCCCATGTTCACAGCAGCTCTATTTATAATAACCAACACATGGAAGTGACCTAAGCATCCACTGACAGATGAACAGAGAAAATGTGTATATATAAACATATGATGGAATATTATTCAGCCATTAAAAAGAAAATCTCAGGACTTCCCTGGCAGTCCAGTGATTAAGATTCCACACTTCCACTGCAGGGAGCACAGATTTGGCCCCTGGTTGGGGAACTGCAAGGGCATCAGTTTGGTCCCTGATTGGGGAACTAAGATCCCATGTGGTGTAGCCAAAAAAGTAAATAAAAATCATGAAATCTTGACATTTGCAACAATGTGGACAGACCATGGGTATATTATGCTAAGTTAAATAAGTCAGAGAAAGACAAATACTGTATGATCTCAATTATATGCAGAATCTAAAATAAAAAACAAACTGAACTCACTGATACAGAGAACAGACAGCTCTGATACAGAGAACAGATGGGTGGGCAAAATGGGTGAAGGGAATAAAAAATTACAAACTTTCAGTTACAAATATATAAGTCCTGTATAGAATCATGACTATAGTTAATAATGTTGTATATTTGAAAGTTGCTGAGAAAGTAGATCTTAAAAGTTATCATGCAAGAAAAAAAATTTTTGTAACTGTTTGACAATATATGTTAACTAGACCTATGGTGGTGATCTTTTCACAATATATACAAATACTGTTATATTGTACATCTGAAACTAACAATGTTGCATGTCAGTGATATCTAAAAAGACAAAAACAAACAGAAAACTTCAGAGAAATCCAAGCCATGCCTATTAGGCCCTTTAAAGCAGCTATACATCTTTTAAGCATCTCAAGAGTATACCTATAGGTCTCAAGATTCAGTCTTGAACACATTTTGAGTGAAAAGACAGAGCTGCACGGCCTTCTGGTTAACAGCAGGGCTTCTATAATTTTGAGGGCTGCTGTTTTACTGGAACCTCATGGAACAGGAGTTATTTATTTGAGCAGGGATTTGAACCCAGGACGGTTTCAGAGTCTATGCTTCTAACAGTATGCTACCAGCCTCTAGAAATATTATCCAACACACTAACTCATTTCATCCCCCAAACCCCAGGAGAAAGATGGTAACAGCATGACCATCTTACAGACAGGGAAATGGAGGCTCAAGAGGGTGGCGTGTCTATACCCAGTCACTGTGGCAAGACCAGGACCCAAACCGGGTTTGTGTGACTGCAGAGCCCTGAGCTTTACTATGGGGAGGCCTCCCTGGGTCCTGCCTGGGCCTGGGCACCTCACCTGCTTGTAGATGAGCTCGAAGGCCCCTGTGTCACAGTTGCGGTCCAGTCGCCGGTCGATGACCACACGCAGGGTGTCAGCCTGCACGCCGGCGCAGAGCCTGGCGGTGACAGCCGTGGAGGGTGCCATGGTGGGGCTGGCATTGATCTCGATCAGCCAGGGCTGGAAGTCCTCACCGAACACAAAGTCAGCGCCATAGAGCTCGAAGCTGGACTTCCGACACTGCACGGTGTCCTGGGAGGTCTGCAGGGCGTGGATCACTGCGGCCTTCATGCCGGGCACCATGACCGTGGACCAGGTGTTCGGGGCCCCCGTCTCCTGCAGGTGGGCCTGGAATTTCTGGCTTGACCACATGTTGTCTGTGGGCAGCAGAGGGTGCCGGTGGCATGAATTCTCCAGGTGCTTCTGGATGGAGTTGTTGCACAGGTGCACAGAGCTAGGACAGAGAGCGGGGAGCTGAGGGCCGGCGCCCCATGCCCCACCCACCCAGATGCTGGTGGGGCAGGCAAGCCCCGGAACCAGCCCTGCACACACTGCACTGTGCAGCGTGAGCTGACAAAATCCTCACATCCGTCTTCTAGGGCCGCTACCAGTCTGTGCTCAGGACCTCTCTGAGGGTCCTAGGTATGGGGCCACAGGGTGAAGTGCTTTGTGACAGGGTCACAGTTAACTCTCCCAGTGCCTGGAAGAAGGTAGCTCAGAGTACAGGGCCCGTAATCACCAAGACATGTGCTCAAGTCCTGTCTTCATCGCTGACTGGTAAAATCTTATATAACTCATTTAAGCTGCGTGCTCCTTTCAACATGTAAAAGATGGAGGTAGTAACAGTACCCACTTGGCCAGGTTTTCATGAACGTCTGAGGTAATATACATGAAGTGCTTAGCATTCGTCACATGCAAGCACTCAGTTAACTGACAGCTATGAGCTCCATGTTACTGGCTCCATTCTACAGGTGGTGGTGATTGAAGCTCAAACAGGGTTTCACTTGACCCAAGTCATAGAGCTTGGAAGCTGCAAAAAATGAACTTGAATCCAGGGCTCAACAGGCTTCCTCTCAACCCCAAGTGAATGCTGCCTCTCTATTTCTCCTGATCCCCCTTTACCCTGCTCTACATCTTTTCTCCATAACACGTATCACCTTTTAACCCATTGATGATTTTATTGATTATGTTCACAGCTTGTCTGTTTCTCCCTGCTGGAATGTGAACTCTTGAGGGCTGGGGTCATCTCATTCACTACTGTGTCCCAAGTGCCTAGAACAGTGGATGGCACAGGGTACACGTGCCGTAGGCATCTGCTGGGTGGAAGGATGGGTGGATGGATGATGGGCCGGCCTGCCTGCAGAGGCTGTGTCTGGAGCCCAGCACTGCACTGGAAGTACTGTTCCTTGCCAGCTCCCCGACTAGATTAGGAGCTCATGGGACTGAGGGGACTGAGGGCGGGGGGCTCACTTGTCCAGGTTCTTCAGGGAGAAGGGCTGTGTGGAGAAGCGGATGTAGCTGTCACGGTAGAACCACACAGTAAGTGGGTTCCAGTCGGTCACCAGGAACCACTGTCTCAGATCAAATTTGGTGCCAAAGATGAGCAAGGGCCGCTCGATATACTTCTGCACCACCCACTTGCCGTCCTTCATCATCATGGGGTTGCAGTCCACCAGCTTCAGCATTTCCTCCAGGTGGTCCATGCACATGATACCTAGGGGGAAACAGGGCTGGTTAGGGATCAAAGTTAGGAAACAAAGCTGGTTAGGCTTTGGCTGGGAGATGGGCTAGGGGTCTATGAACAGTTCATCCTAAGCGCACATCCCCTAAGGATTGATAGGCCCGAGTGGGTAAGCCTGCCTTTCTCCATGTTCCCTTTGGGAAAGCTGAGAATCTGCCAAGGATTTTTTTTTAAATTAACCAATTTTGATGATGGAAAGGAATATATATATACATATAAAAATTCAAACAGTATTGGGCCTTTTTAAAACCATATACATGTATGACTTTGCTTAGTTTTTCATAATAACTAACAGAATATAAAAGAGCAGAGGCAAAAAGTAGACAGTACAAAAGGGTACACAATTAAAAAAAAAAACACACATTTCCTGCTCCAAAGAAGCCAGGTGCTGCTTCCAGGTGCTATGGATGGGCACGCAAGTTATGGGAGAGTCTGTGTCTGCCTCAGTTGCATAGCATTCTATGCATTTAAACATCCTAAGGAACTGGAAAAGTGCCTGGCACTTGGTGAGCATTCAGTAAATGTTAACTCATCATAATTATTCATTACCTATAAAAAATATCTCTAGTTATAGATTTGCTGGCTCAAAGCGTACGTGCATTTTTTCACTTTACAGAACAAAGATGTTCTATCAATTTGCACTTCGAATAAGAGTGTATGAGACTGTGTGTTTGCCCACATACTACCAACACTGTTGATTTATTTTTGCCATGCTCCTAGGTAGACTGGTATCTTATTTTAATTTTGTCTGTTTTGTAACAAGTGAAGTTAAGCATCTTATGCTAATAAGGCGTTTTAATGCTGATAAATATAGCAGACCATTGAACAACACAGGGATTAGGCGTGCCAACCCTCTAAACAGTTGAAAATTATTGTATAACTTTACAGTAGTCCTCTATATCCACAGTTCTGCATCCATAGATTCAACCATAGATCATGTAGTACTGCTGCTGCTGCTGCTGCTAAGTCACTTCAGTCGTGTCCGACTCTGTGCGACCCCACAGACGGCAGCCCACCAGGCTCCCCCGTCCCTGGGATTCTCCAGGCAAGAACAGTGGAGTGGGTTGCCATTTCCTTCCCCAGGGCATGAAAGTGAAAAGTCAAAGTGAAGTCACCCAGCCGTGTCCGACTCTTAGAGACCCCATGGACTGCAGCCTACCAGGCTCCTCTGTCCATGGGATTTTCCAGGCAAGAGTACTGGAGTGGGGTGCCATTGCCTTCTCCCATGTACTACTAAAGTAGGTACAAAGTGAAAGAATCTGCATATATGTGGACCCATGCAGTTCACTCATGTTGTTCAAGGGTCTATGGTAACAATCACACTGCAAACAAACATATACACTCACAAATCAATCTTATTTCTTCACTGCTTGGTCCTCCAAACAGTCTGACTGCCTGCCAATGGCACAGAACAACTTGTTCTTGGTTCCCAGGCCAGATTCTTTCTCTAAAGCCCGGAGTGATTACTAAGATTCCCAATATCATGATGACTTGTGTAGCCATAGATTGAGACTGTTCATGACCTCTGACCCAGAAATTTCATTTTTAGGAATTTATCCTAAAGAAATAAGTGGAAAAGCTACTGTAAATGGAAAGATGTCTGCACAAGATATTCACCAGTGTTGCTAACAGCAATTAACCCATCAATAATCAAATAAATAGGGAAAAAACTGATGGCTATCTAAATATCCATCAGAAAAGGATTAAGTAAAACCATGAGAGTACATATAAATAAGATTAGACTGTGCAGCTGTAAGACAGAATGAGGTAGGAAAGTATATACTGTACTTTTATATAAAGTTCAAAAACAGGCAACACTAATCTATGGTACTGTAAGTCGGAATAAGGGCTTCCACTGCAGGGAGGCAGAGACCAGGAGGTAGCACGGGGCCCTCTAGGGTAAAGGTAATGTTTTATTTTGTAATCTGGGTGCTGTTTCCACGAGTGTGTTCCCTATGTGACAATTCACTGAGTTGTATATTCACAATGTGTACCCTTGTCAATGGACTGTATACATATCTCAATTAAGTTTTACTAAAAACGGAGAGAAAATGTTGAAATACACTGGAATTCACTGTATTGTTCTCTATGCTTTTGTGTATGTTTGAAAGTGACTATAACAATAAACTAAAAATGGGGGTGAGGGGGAAGCAGATCTAGATGTACTGAAATGGAATGACCTATAAGATCTATTAAGAAAAAATAAAGGTGAAAACAAGTAAGTGATACTCAGTGATATGGAAAGATAAATAATGAAAAAAGGAAGCTACAGAGTAGTATGCTCTTATGTAGAATAAAACACACATACACCCAACATGCATAGACGCAAGTACAGAAACACACCACAAGGTAAACAGTAGTTATCTCAGTGAAATCAAAGGCGCCCTTGGTTTCTTCCACTTCTCTGTACTGTCTGATCTTGTTTTTTAAAAAATAACAAATATGTATTTTCAGTCCTGGAAAAAACCAACAAGACAATTTCCAAGATAGAAGAAGAAAAGACTATGATGCTAGTTTTAGAGAGACATCCCAAGAGAGTGTCACACAGTGTGTGGAGCTGCAACAGCTTCACTAGGACACGAACAAATTCTCCCAAGGGCAGTATGTGAAGTGATCTGCTGCCAAAAGTCTGTTTTTTTACATCTCAGAAGTCCTTAACGCTCTTTTAAAGGCTGGGCTAATGCAACATCCCAGCAGCAGGTGCCCTGTTCAGTTCCATTCATGCTGAGCAGTCAACATAGTGGCTAGAAATAACAGCACTTACATAGCAGTTACTCTAAAAGCATAGGATCAAAGCACTTTCCATATTGTACTCATGTAATCCTCTTGGGTAGGTATGACTGGCTTCATTTTACCAAGGATGAAAATGAGGCACAGAAGAGGTTAATTAACCTACCCCAGGTCTTTCAAATATTAGGGAGCAGAGCTTGGGTTTGAACTGAGGAAGTCTGATTCTCAGCATCCACACCCTTAAACCACTGTTCCACACCATACAAGGATGCATAAGTCAAATCGGAGAGCCCTCAGACAAAAAGTAACTGCAGTGAGACCACCAGGCCTGCCTAAAGCATTAACCTAAACTCTCAGGGTAGGAGAGGACGCGCTGGCATCATCATCATGCTGTTTAGTTGCTAAGTCGTGTCTGAACTCTTTTGCGAAGCCATGGACTGTAGCCCGCCAGGCTCCTCTGTCCATGGGATTTCCCAGGCAAGAATACCGGAGTGGGTTGCCATTTCCTTCTCCAGCAGATTTCCTGACCCAAGGATTGAACCTATTTCCTGAATCGGCAGGCGGATTCTTTACTGCTGAGCTGCCAGGGAAGCCCTATTGTCATCACAGCAGCCAACATTCATGGGGTGGCTACTGTGCCTGGCACCATGCTGAGTGGTACATGCACTACCTCATTTAATTCTGGCCTCATAGGAGGTATTATCATCAACCCTCACAGATGAGGGAACTGAGGTTCGAAGACTTGATATAACTTCCTCAAGGTCACAATGTGTATCAGAAGCAAAGCTGGGATTCGAACCTAGGCAGTTTGGCTCCAACAGAGGCTGTACTATTAACATCCAGAGCCTCTGGTTGGGGAGGGTGTAGGGTGCTGGTATGGGGAAGCAGGGGCAGACCCCCACCTCGTCCACGGGACTTGGCTCCTGGCTTCACGATCCAGATGTTGCGATCTCCTTCCATGTCCATCTGGGGCACCACAGCCCGCAGCTGCTGCAGGATGTCCTCACAGTGCTGGACCTGAGTGTCGAGGTACCTGAGTTCTGCCCCCTCGCTGTGGGGAGATGATGGGACTTGGGCAGGGCTGGGCCTGGGGGCATCCTGGTGAACAAGGCAAGGGGAGACACAAGGCCCCTGGCCATGGTCCCACCAGCTTTGGTCACACACTTCCCCTCGAGACCTGGATAGGGCTCTCCCAATCCTTCACCCCTGCCCTCAGGCTGTGCCCCAGATCCACCCTGCCCAGGGCACTGTCCCTGACTGCTGGAATGGTACGTTCTACCTACCGTACCCCCTCCCACTCCAATACTCCACCTTCTCCACCTTCTCTCTCTCTATTATATTAAAGCTGCTCTTTGGCAGAATTTAATCATACCAGCATCAAATGAAGAGGCACTTCTACATGCCAGGCATTGTGTCAAGGGCTTTATATATACATTATCACTAATTCATCTTCAGGGAGATGTTACTGGTCCCATCTTAGAGAAGTATAAACTGAAGCTTGCAGGGTTAAGGGATGTGCCCAAGGCCACACACTGAGTAAGAGGCTGAGCCAGGATGCAAACTCTAGCCTGCCTGAATTGTTCAACCACAAGTGTTTTTGGCAGTTCACTCCTCTCCTAATCTTTAACCTAACACTGGTGGATAGGCGGGCCCCTTCCTCATCTAATTCTTTTCTTGCACAACTGTATCATACATCTCCTAGACTTATTTCTCTTCCGATCACTTACCACCTGACACCTACATTTATTTGGTCACTGCCTGTCTCTGCTCACTGGAATGAAAGCTCTATGAGACCAGGAATACTTTTTGTAGTTGTTATTCTGTTATACTCCCGCCCCCAAGTAGTACCCCAGCACTTATCAGGTACTCCCTAGAAGTTTGTTAAATGAATGAATGGTTGAGTAAGGAAGTCTCTGGCAGTGACTGGGCTGTATGGATAAGAGTTCGGGGACAAAAAGGAACCTGTTCCCTACAGGACACGAAATGTCCTCAGCTAAACCAAGTCACAAAATATCCCAGATGGTGGCCTCAGCCAGACTATCCCGTTTCTTTTCCTTTGAGTGAATAGGAAGGAAGCCTCCGCTAGATGGTAGCCTCTCTTTTAACATCTCTCGGACGTTAAAGAGGCTGGAGCCTCTTGGACGTCTCCAGCCACGGAGAACTTGTCTCTGTTACTAAGGCGGGCACAGCAGTGGCAGCTGGGCAGGGCTGGGAACAGGGACAATCAGATGGAGGGGTCTTGGCAAGGCCTCTTTTTCACACACGATTCCTGGGCTCTCCTATTTCCACAAGCTTTGCTGGAAACATTTCTGTGGCCGTGGCCTAAAGAATCTACTGAGCAAATCTGTGATCTGGCCCAGGAAAGTGTCACATGGCAGTGGCAGGGACATATGCAATTTGAAAAAGCATATTCAGCCTGACAGTATGATTTTATATTTAGTAAAAAAACCAAGCAGTTCTGTGGAAAGTCGACCTGGTGGTCAGGGGAGGGGGAAGAAAGAAGCCTGCCTGGTGAGCTGTGGATTTGTTTTTAAAAGCTGAGAAGCAGCAATAAATATTGACTTAATTAATGCTAATGATCTAACAATTCAGTGCAATGTTACATGAGGTAATATTTTATGTAATCCTGATTTTTTTTTAATTAAATTTTTTTTTTGACTGCTTCATGTAGCATGTGGGATCTTAGTTCCCCGAGCAAGGATTGAACGTGCACCCCATGCATTGGAAGCAGAGTTTTAACCACTGCATGACCAGTGAAATTTCCTAATCCTGCTTTTGAGAGGTTCCTTCAGCCCTCGACTTGCCCCACATCCAGAAATGCAAAGGACTGACATTATTTCCACTGACTATTATAACTCAGTCCTGACGTTATTTTTTTTAATATTTTTAATTTATTTGGCTGTACTCGGTTTTAGTTGCTTTCACTGTGGCACGTAGGCTCTTTCAGTTGCAGCATGTGGAATCTAGTTCCCTAACCAGGGATTGAACCATTTCCTCCTGTATCAGGAGCTTGGAGTCTTAGCCACTGGACCACCAGGGAAGTCCCCCAGTGATGCTTAATTTCAGAAGGGCAGCTTTATGTTTTCTGGCAGCTAAGGGGAAAGTATGGGATCACCTAGTTTTCGTTCTCTACTGTTTAAAAAAAGATACAAATGAGTTATTCATCAATGATGTGGGTTTGCTGGCTAAGTCATTCGTTCAAAGTTCATTTACTAGTTCTTCAGTGTCCCCTATCAATCATTAAATCTGTCTGTTCGTTTCTATTCTACCACCACGCCACCTGAGGCCTTTAGCCCGCCCCGACTTGCTGCAAGTCTCCCTGCTTGAGCTGTCTGCTCCTGAGGGCACGGATTTTGCTTCATTTCTTGGGTCTGGCACGATGCCTGGCACATAGGAAGGGCTCAGTAAATGCCGTCATGCCCTCTTCCTGCCAGTTTTTCCTACACACTGTGCTGAAGAGCATCTCCCTACAACAGGCCCAGGCCCATCTCAATACTCCTTTCCTCTGCTCAAGAACCTTTCCCCAAAATGTGTCCTGCAAATACAACCTCTAAGGATACTTGGGGCAGGGGGCTGGGGTCACCTAAGTACAGGACACACTGCATACTCTGTCCCTCTTGGGAGTTTACACCATCTTCTGAAAAGTCCTGTATCAAGGAAACCTATTTTAACTTTGTTCCACTCAGTGTTTTCCAAATGTGACTGACCACAAAACCCTTTTTTCATTAACTCCATTTCAGCATGCAGAACTAGCATGCTATATAATAGGCTTTGCGAAATGCTGGTTTCCAGGATAAAACCTAAATGAATTAACAGAGTCTTACTTTGTGAATGAATACTATGAGTCAGTGCTGAGCACATCATAAAAATTACCCTAATCCTACCTTTGAGGCAGACATTATTTTTAAACCTATTCTGCATTTGAGAAAAGCAAAGATCAGATAGGTGAGTGAGGTTCCCAAGGTCACAGAGCTTGGAAATAGGACAGGCAGAACTTGAACTCAGATCTGTCTGACAGCACATGATTTTAGTCACTATGCTACACCGGGGATCTGGGGAAGAGTAGTTGGGACCCTGATATGAAGGCAGTGAGAACTCCTGAGGGTTCTGAAGGAGAAGAGTGGGTGAATGAAAACAGGGAGGCTTGGGGAGGAGCTGGGGGCGGTGGGCATTCGACAGAGAGGTTCTGTCCCTGACCATCAGCTGTGAACATGAAAGCTGCCTGAGAGCACGCCCCATGGCCCGGGCTGCAGAGGCACTCACTGGACCACTTGGTAGTAGCGCTGGAGAAAGAGGGACCAGCCCTCGGGGCTCAGGTAGAGCGGGGTCTCCACGTCCTTGTCGATGTCCATATGCGCCAGGTTGTTAAGGTGCTCCTCGCAGGCACACAGAGCCGCATCCACAAACTCTGGGGACACCGACGCTGGCTTTTTCTCCTGTTTCTTCGGCTGCTTGTCTCCTGTAGAGATGGGGTAGAGGTGGGGGCTGTCACTATCCCACACTCCACGGCTCCCACTGCCCCAAGGCCTGTCCCTTACCCGTGACTTCACCTGAAATACACCTGCAGCCCCTACTGCTGTGGGACCTGTCACTCACCCGGGGCTTTGTTCTAAATTCATCTGGGGTCCCGGTGCTCGCCCTTGCCCCTCACTGTGCAGGACCTGTCATTCATTTGAGGCTCACCCTGAATGTCCCCAAACATCTCAGCGCCTAGAGCCCCAGCAGACACACCTGCAGCCCCTCCGTGATTGGGGGCTCTGACACACCTGAGGCTCCTTGAGCCCCGCTCCTGACACACCAGGAGACAGCCCCAGGGAGGTCTCCCTCGGGAGGAGCCGGGGCTTCCTTCTCACAGCCGAGCTGCCTCTCATTTCACCAAACCCCTGAGGAATTCTGGCAACTCTGGGCTACAGGACAGAAGCTGCGAGGTGGGAGCTGAGTCCAGAAAGGGAAAGGGCCAGCAGCTGCTTGAGCCGACCAGTAGGGAGAGACTGTCTGGGTCCCCCTTCACAAGGCACGAGCGGTCCTCAGACCACATCAAACTACATGGTTTTACTGCTGCCTCTCCTCACAGATCTGAGCTCCTCACAGGCAGGGATGGACCATGTCCTCTTAAGTCTGTCCTCTCTAGAGCACTCTGCCACATGCCAGGCCCACTGGAGGACTGAGCGAGGCAGTGGGTCAATTAACAAACAGATAGGAAGACATGTGGCTAAGTGGGTGGGTGGGACAGAAGAATGATGAGTGGATGGGCCAGAGGATAGATTAAGTGGTAGATGGCAGGATGGAAAAGAAGTACATGGATGGGGAGGTGGGTCTGTGGAAGCATAAGTATGTAGATAGGCAGGAAAGTGGAGTGGATTGATAGGCAGTGTGGAGTTGACAGAAGTAGGTGAATGAACAGATCAACAGTTGGGGGAAGGATGAATGCATGGATGGGTGGATGGGTAGGTGAAAGTGAGATGGGTGGGTAAGTAGGGAAGCAGATGGATGAACAGACTGTGGACAGAAAGAAGGGGAGATGTACGGAAGAGCGGGTAGGAAGGGGTGGTGGATGGGCAGATGGATGAGAAAAATACCATGACAGATGGGTGAGGTGTGCTGCGTACGAGGATAAATGGTTAGGGGAGCAGAGGTGACCACAGTACTTACTTGGGGCCTCTTCTTCTTCGACAGAGTTTGACTTCCACTCGCACTTTACCACCAGCTTGAGAACGTTGCGGGCAGCTGTCAGCCAGAAGTCCTCTGCTCCCGGGGCAGGGGATACCCTCCTCAGCCTCTAGGCTCCGGGCCTGTTCTGGTTCCGGAACCTGATCATGACCTGCCCCACTCTGCATCCGGAACCTGACTACTGTTTCTGACTCTAGAACCCCACTTAGAACCTGGCTTCTGTTTCCACTGTGGAACGAGCCCCAGAATCTGACCTGACTTGGCTCATATTCCACCTTCAGAATCTTGCGTGGTTCTGCTGTCTGATTTCTCCTCCTCTGTTCCTGATCCACCTTTTTTTTCTATTGTGCATGTGTGATTTTTTATTTTTTTTATGTGAAGTATAGTTGACTTACAATGTCCTGATCCACTTTTGATACTTATTCTAGCCTGAGAACCAGACCTTGGCCCCAAATCTATATAGGACTTGGAGACTAATTGAAACCTAGCGTCTAATGTGGATCCAAATTCTGACCTGAACTTAAGAGTGTGTGCTGGAGTTGGAGCCTACTCTGTCTGTGAGCCCCGAAGTCTAGAAACTTTTCTTGGAACTAGACTTGGAACCCGATCTAGTCAGTGGAATCTGACAGGGGGTTGGAACTTATTCTGGATTCCAAACTCAACTAAGTGACCAATTTTAGAACCTGCTCTAGCAAATAAGATAAACTACGTCAGCTCTTCTGGAGGTCTGGGGTGACCAAGGTAGGGGGCTCATTAAGGGAGGCATATACGGGAAAGATGAGGGTTGAGGATGGAGAAGGAAATCTGCTGGGGTAGATGATGGCATGAGAGAGGCCCTTTGCTCTCCAACACCAGCCAGGGCTTTAGCCCTCCTCCTTTGGCTTGAGGGGCCAGGCATGGGGATGGTATCTCCTTACCTATGAAGGCCTTTTTGTCATCCTCAGCCCCCAGGCGGTAGCAGCGTGGGAAGAAGGAGTCGGCATCAGCCTCATCAAACCATGGCAAATTCCGGAGATTGAGACACAGACCCACCTATGGAGTCAGCCGCTGAGGGGGCAGGGTGGGACTTGCCCAGGCAGCCTCCAAGGAACTCTCCACACTGGGAACCCACCCAGAGAGCTCAAGGGGATGCTGTGTGGACAGTCTCAGAGCCTCTGCCCCACTTGCTAGGCTCATTTCCACCTCCACATGCTGTCCATGTGGTTCCCTCTGCCTAGAATTCCCTGCACCCTTCTAGCCATCTTTTTGCATCCTTAAATACCTGCCTCTTTGAGGACTCCTTCCCAGTCCACACTAGTAATAGACCAGCAGGTCCCAATTATAAAGCCTATCATTCTTGCCATAACCCTAGAGAATAGGTATTACTGGAATTTTCATTTAAAGAAGAGGAGCCTGAGGCTCAGAGAGGTGAAGTCACTTAACCAAGACAAGATATAATAGAACCATCAGCCAGACCATCAACCATCAACCAGTCTCTGCTTAGGAGAGAAGGGTCCCCCTGCTCATAGTCATTGGCTATGGTGTTTGTTTTTACTCCAGACCCTATTTGGCTCCTGGAGTCTATTTTAGTCACCGTGTCTATATGTGCCAGACATGCTGCACAGGTTGGATTTGAACACAGGTGTGTCCAAATCCAACTGAACCACGTACCTCCCCACCTCCTGAGAACTCTTACTGACAAGGAGAGCAGAAAAAGGGACTGCCAGCCCAAGAGCTGGGGGGTTGGCAGCTGCCATGCCTGCGCTCTTAAGAGCTCACCTTTGTGGTAAAGGAGCCTGCCCGAGCATAGTGGTTTATCATCTGATCCTTGGAGAGGAAGCGACAGTCCAGGATGTCCCGACGAGTAGTCCAGATGAAGTAGGGGATCTCGTTCCGAACCATACGTGACTGGGGAGAGGGGAGGAGACAGGGAAGGTTGATGTGGGCACCACAAGGCCTGAGGAAGCTTCTCCCTGCCATGCTAGGCAAGGTGGGTCAATGGAGAGACAGGATCCTCCCAAGGGGGCCTCTAGCTCACATGTCATCTTTTTGTAAGTTAAGAAAAGACATCTCAAAAAAAAAAAAAAAAAGACATCTCTTCCCTTTGGGGCACACACTGGTGAACAGAGAGCAGGCTGGCTTGCAGCTCTTTCGACCAGGTGCCCCTAGGCTGTGACTAAACTCCACAAATGAATGCCACAACTTGTTCTGGGTCTTGGCCATTAGTGACTTACTCAGTGGCGGGGCAGTGACTCTAAGCTGATGGTCACAGAACATGTGACAAAGGTTTTCTCGTGAGCTCCACCTCTCCCCATCCTTCCTAGAACTCTGGGAGGAAGGATTACTGATAACCAGTAACACCGTGCATCAGGCCCTGTGCTTAAGCTTTCCATGTCGATTCATTTAATCCTCACCATAACCCTACGTGGTAGGTGCTACCATTATCCCCATTTCACAGATGAGGGGACTGAGGCTCAGGGACTTGTCCCAGGTTCACAATGTTGGACCATGTGGAATTGCCAGTCCTCAACCTCACCTGACATACAAAACTGGCAGTTTGCAATAGTTCAACTCAGAAAGTGGTGGTACGAAGATTCAAAGCCAAGTGTCTTGATCTCAACGCACATATCCTCCCCATCATCATATCAGCCTCTTTCAAAATTTTTTAAGTCCTTCCTTCTAACCTTCACTTGCCAACAACGGAGGAAGATGAACTATGGGGTTTTATTTGGAAGGGGGAAATTACCAGGTGTGGAGATTGTGCCAGCTTCTGATACAACCTGGCAAAGAGCCCTGATCCAAGGCCAGCCTTATCTGTGTCACTCACCACTCCACTGGCCTACCTAGGCTTTAGAGAACCAATTGTTTTTACCGCAGATAGGGAAACTGAGATTTACAAAACGGCTTGTCTGGGGTTGCCAAGCTGGACTCTAGTGCTTTCTCTTGAAAGAAGCAGACCCCTATCCAGCCCGCTGGGTCCTCACCATCAGAGCATGTGTCCCATGTAGGTCATCAAATTCCAATAACTCATCGAAGTCAAACAGCTGTGGTGGCCGGAATGCCTCCTCCTCATCTTCATCCTCTGTAGATGTAGAGCCCAGGTGTGGGAAGGCCCCGGTCCCTGCCCCTCAGCCCCACATCAAAGCCTCAACCTTGGGACAGTGGGAACCAAAGGAAAGGGACTCAAGCAGCTTGTGGGAAGGGAGGGATATCTCACCATCCTCAGTCGTGTCACTGTCACCCATTACTGAGCTGTCCAGATCCTTATGCGGTTGTGGCAAAGTGGTACCCAAGTGATGGACCATCTTCTTCTCCACCCAGCCCCTTTGGCGCAAGAGGCACCGGATCACAGGGTAGCGACCTTGGATCATAAAGATCTTCTTCTGCTATAAGGTGACAGCAAAATACTTTTTCAGTAAGTATAGCCTAAGTGCTGGTCACAGGGGAGATAACGGTGAGTCAGACAGCTATGGTCTCTGCCTTCATGAAATTTATACATTCTAGTAGGAGAGACAGACTGTAAACAAGTAGAAAAATAACCTGAATAGTAATAATCATAATAGCAACTATATTTTCTAATATTTATTGAGCATTTACTATGTGTTAAGCACTTAAATACATTACTAACAACAATGTGTATTTTTTTTTTAACAATGTGTATTTTCAATAGACACTATCATCTCCACTTGGGGATTCCAAGGTGGTGCAGTGGTAAAGAATCTGCCTGCCAATGAAGGAGACGCTAGAGACATGGGTTCAAACCTTGGGTTGAGAAGACCTCCTGGAGGAGGAAATGGCAACCCACTCCAGTATTCTTGCCTGGGAATCCCATGGACAGAGGAGCCTGGCTGGCTACAGTCCATGGGGTCACAAAAGAGTCAGACATGACTGAGCACCCGCATGCAACCAATCTCTACTTAACTGGTTATGAAACAGAGGCACAGAGACACTTGGCACAGAGTAGCTTGGCTACCCAGTGGTTAAGTGAAAGAGCAGGAATTAACATCCAGGCTGGGAAGTTCAAGAAATAGGATTTTAACGGGGATCCAGAGAATCAGTCAGGGGAAGCTGGGAAGGAGCCAGAAATGTAGAGCTGGGCAAACCTGGCAGTTAGGGCAGAGGGAAAAGCATGTGCAAAGGTCTTGAGGGTGGAGGGGTCAGAAGGAACTGGAAGGGAGCTAGGGTATATGGAGTGTGGAAAATGAGCGGAGACCTCTTAAGAGGTGTGTGGAAGACACTGAAGGCCTTGGGATAAACTTGAATTTTATATTAAGATCAGCGTGAAGCAATAAGGTGAAGGGAGGGAGTGACATCATTGGAGGCTGTTAAATGTGGCTTGCTGTCCTATGGAAAACAGATGGCAAGGATGGAAGCAAGCAGACTAGTGAGAAGGCTGTTGTGGTTTCTCTAGGTGCCTCCAGCAGAGATGGGAACAAGTTGGGAGTTGAAATTCCTTTTGGAAATAGAGACTAGTTTTGCTATTAGGATTAGATGTGTGGGTGAGGGAACAGAAAGATCACATCTCCTGGCCCGAGCAACTGGGAGATGGAAAAGACCAAAGAGCAGGGAGAAGAACAGGTCTGGGCAGGAAAATGAAGAGTATGGTCTAAGACACGGGTTTGAGATGCTTTGATGTTCCCTCAATGGAGGTATCAAGTGGGGGACTAGATCCACGGAGGGATGCAGTTAGAGGTCAGGCTGGGCTGGAGAGAGAATGAAAAGGGAGCAGGACAGATTGAACTCACAGCCAAGGAGACAAGTGTAGAGAGGGATCCAGGGAAACAGGAATGTCCTGGGAAGTCTTCAAAGGCAACTGAAAAGTAGCTGCGTGGGAGGGAGAAAGGAAAAGCAGGAGTGTGCAGACAGCCAAGAGGAAAGGTGTGTTGGTGCAGAATGACACAAGGTGCCAAACCAAGATCAGGACAGAAAAGGGACTGACAGGTGGATCTGGCTCCTTAGAGGTCACCAGTGACCTTAACTAGAGAGGTTCCTGATGAGAGTGGTGAAGGATAGGGACCCAGCGTGGTGGGGGCTGAGGACTGAAACCTAGATAAAGTAGCTGAATTCTGCCTAGAATTTTGGTTGTGGACGGGGTGTTGAAAACTGGAGAAGTATTTGAAGACAGGCGTGGGATCAAGGTTTTTTCTTCTTTATTTTCTAAGGAGGGGAGAATATAGTGCAAGGAGGCAGGGTGAGCCACCCTCCAGGCCTTTTCTAGCCCCTTCCCCAACCCCCTCCGACCTTGACAGCTCTCTCCACGTGGATCTTCGCGTTTCTGAGCCGGCCCATGTGTTGAGACGCCTTGGAGAATCCTCGCCAAAGGACAAGAGAACCTGCAGAAAGATGCGGAGTGGGCGTGGAGTAGGCACCCCTTCTCTTTCCACCCTCATCCCGATGCCTATTCCCTACCGCTCTTCTCCGGTTCCCCGGATTCTCACGTCCGCCCCAAGACTTCGCCTTGGGCCAGGAAGGGCGGCCGCAAGTGGCCTCACCGTCCTGGGGCGGGGCGTGCTCCTGGGCCGGGGAAGGCGAGGGCCCAGCGGGGCGGGGATCCTCGGCGCCCTGGGCGTGGCTGTCGTGGGCCGAGGGCTGGAGGGCGCAGTCTAGGCGGTGCGCTGAGGCTGGACTGCAGACCCAGTCTTGGCCGTTTGCCGGAGCCTCCTCTGGAAGCCGGAACTCGGAGTGGCGCGCCCTGGGCCATAGGGCGGGGGAAGTGGCGCGGCCCTCGAGCAGCTGCGGCTTCCGTGGCCAGCTGCACACGGGACCCCCCTCCTGGCGAAACCAGGCGGTGGAGTCCTGCTTTGCGGCCCCCAGCTCCCCTGCCCTCAGGAGCAGCGCCGCGGTGGGGCCCTGCATAAGACCCTCGCCGCGCGCCCGCGCGCATTCCCGGGGCCCCAGAGCCCGCCTCCCCTCCGCGCGCAATCGCGTCTCGCGGGAGCGCCCTGCGGGGGCCCGCAACCCTCCGTTCTGAGGCCCCGCCCTGTTTTTTGTCGCCTTAGAAACGATTCCCTTGGCACAATCAGGCCTCAGGTAGTGGTTCCGGGGGCTACTTCCAGCGGGGCCAAACTCGGGGCCTTACCTGCCCCACACCCTTCATGAATGGGGCACTGAAGCTGGAAGCATAGAGCACTGGCTGCCCTGCCAGTTTCTAATAGGGTCCTGATTCCTTATCCAGCGCTTCCTGGGGCTTCAGTTATTCCACAGTATTCAGCGAAGACCATGTGCTAAGTAGTGGGCTAGGTGCTGGGGATCAGAAGAACAAGCTACAGATGGTCCCTGATTTCATGGCACTTACTGCCCAGTGGAAGAGAAACAAAAAGCAAGCAACAGAGGAATAACACAGGTGTTTTAATACTTCAGATAAAGTGGTCAATGATGTCCTCTCTGAAGGGGTGACATTTAAACTGAAACCTACTGAATGCAAATTGGTGAGGAGTTGGCCAAGGGAGGAATAGCATTCCAGGGAGAGGAGTTTCTGCAACAGCCCTGAGAGGGTAAGAACTTTTCTGGGGAACTAAAAGGAAGCTGACCAGATCTGCAGCTCCTGGCAGATGGAGCTTCGGTAAGGTCCTTGGGGGTAGATTTGAAAGCCAGGGCAGTATTATGGGGAAAATAAAAGGGCAGAACCCCCAGACTGCACCCCCACCAAAAAAAAGACAGCACTTGGAAACAGAAAATAAGTATCATTGTTTCAATCTACTAAAAAACCAAGTTATGCAACAGCCCTCAAGACAAGACTGTAAGCAACCTTTTTAGAGGTAGTAGGAAAACTGTTACACACTCAAATGTGAGAGGTGAGATAAATAAGGTTCCAAGATGTTAAATAATTTGTCTTAAATCGCATAGCAGAGGCAGCCCTGGAACCCAGGTCTGACTCCAAAGCCCCACTCTTAAACAGAAACACAATTAAACATAAGTCCATATAATCACTCATAAGGGCTGCCTATCAGTCAGGCAAGTACCAAATGGACAGTGTGAGAGGCAAACTCGAGCAATGCCCTCTCAAGCAGAGCCCAGGAACCCAGATCTGTCAGTCACTGGTAGATTGGCTCACACAAGTGAAGGTGGGTCCTCCACAGACCTTTCTAGTCAACCCTAACCTTCTCAACCCTGCGGCTGGTGACTGAGCAGTCCCAAAATTTCCCTTTTGGGAACAAAAGGTATGCCTTCAGGAGAGGACTGGCTGATTGGAGACCATCCAGTCTGTTCTGATCAGCCGGCAAATTTGGTTTTAGCTCTGAACCCTGGGAGATGGATCCGTGACAAATTAGAATTCTGGCTGGCTCACCCAGGCATTGCTGTCCTGTGAGGGTTGAGTGAGCAGCTGCCATACTCTAGTGGATGTCCAGCTTCACCGCACCTTCACGTGGGCAACAATCACTGTAAAGCTAGGCTATGGCCATGTGCCCCACAGAAGGGCACACCTAATTCTGCAAGACAGGAGGGGGAGGTCACAGAGGTAATGTCATAAAGGGGATGATAGCAGTCCAAGTTGTCCCCATCCCCAACCCCTCCTTCCTTTAAACAGTACCTTGTCCTGTTTCAAGAGACCCCTTTTGGCCATATGGAAGAAACTTTTCAAAACTCAGCAAAGCCCAATCCTTCTCAAACTTTTCTTGGCATCCTCTTCCATAAAGACACCCCTCTGTGGGCTCCCACTGACTTCCATTAGTGAACATGAAACACTTCAATGCACCTCTTTATTTACATACTGAACACTTCCACTGGCCCCCAAGTCTGAGACAGGGATAATGTCACCCCCAACAACCAGCACAATGGAAGTTACCAATAGCTTGGATACTGGGCTGGTGGAAAGATCAGTCATTGTTTACTCACTACTTGTAATGGCAGGTAGTGTCTGACATCTCCACTTTATAGATTAAGAAACTGAGGCACAGAATATAAATAACTTGCTCAAATTCTTAAGAATAGGACTCAAACATAAGTTGTGTTTTTTTTTTTAACTTCACTTCAAGGTGTCACTAACAGGGTTTAATCCTGTCCAACAGAACTTTCTGCAATGATGGAAATGTTCTATCTACAACCATGTGAAGTGGTAGGCATTAGTAGCATTTAAGTGTTGAGCACTGGTGGGACTGAGGCAATACATTTTAAACGTTTCAATTGTAATAATTTAAATAGCCACATGTGGCTAGTGATCAGTATCATAGCATAGGTAGAGGCAGATATCCTGCATCTGAATTCCACCCTCTTGCTCACTAGCTGGGAGATTTGGGGCAAGCTGCTGCATCTCATGATACCTCAGCTTCCTTAGCCATGAAATGGGCTTATTTCTCTGATGTTATATTCTAGCCCAAATGAGCTTACTATGTGAAAAGGGTCAAAGCTCTATACAGGTAGAGAGCAGTTTCAGAAATGGGTGGAGCTGGACTGCAATGGGTCTCTCAGGTTAGGGCCCTCCAGCAGGCTACTGTCAGAGGCCAATCACAAGGCTGTCTCTGGTGGGGACCCCCAGGTCCAAGCGCCTGCCACATGGTCTTAAGGAACAGCTCCACCTCCTTTCATCACATATACACACAGAGCACAGACCTCATGCAGCCCCAGAGGGGCAAAAAGAGACTTTAATTAGGGGAGGGAGGATCCACCAGAATCAGAAAAGGTACAGCCAGCATGGGAGCAGAGCAGCCAGGGCAGGCAGGAGGCCCTGGCAGGGATGCTCTGGGGGACTCACCTCTCCACCTCTAGCACAGGCACTGCACTGACAGACAAGGCGAAACAGCGACCCCTCTCAGCTGGGAGGGCACGAAGCGGCCCCTGAGGCCAAAGGCTGCCTAGCTTCCAGGCCCCAGCTCCTAGGCGTGGCCGGTAGCCACCAGATCAGCCCTTGTCCTCAACCAGTGTTGGGTGGCCAACTGCAGGCAGGGCTCAGGAAGCTGGTAGAGGGTCCCCACCGCTTCTACTGAGCCTAAGGAGATAGGAAGACGAGGGAGAGGAACACAAGTCTGAAACCTCCCTCCCTCCCACCTGGGATGGCTCCGGGGAGGAACAGTAGTCGCCTTTTGGCTCCAGGCCCGCCCAGACCCACAGCGACCAATAACGTACAATCACTGGGACCAGTCACAGCCACTGGAGGTGGAGATTGTTTGTTGGTTTTTTTAAAAAAAAAAAAGACAAAAAGGTTACAGTCTCCTACAAGCACAGAGTTTTAAGTTTCAAGACGTTAAAAAAAAAATCCGTCCCGGCCCAGGGGACTGAATATCAGAAGCCAGCCTGACCAGGCACATGTGGCCTCGGGGCAGGTCCACTGCTGCTTTGTGGCCCAGCGAGCAAGCACACCACCCCCCTCCCGCATCTAATGCCCACCCTGACCCAGCTCCCCTCCGCTGCTGCTGCTGCTGCCGTCACCGCTGCTGCTCTGGGAAGTTAACTCCAGGATGACTTCACAGAGACACGGGGGAGCCTGAGGGGGAAGGCCGCGAGATCCAGCCAGGTGGTTTAAAACTGTCAAGAGAACCAAGAGGCGGTGAATAATGGTTATTACTGTATCCTGGAAGGCCTGTTCTGGGGAGGGGGGCTGATCTGTGAGCTGCAGCTAAACTCACATTTCTGTGGGGCAGGACTGGGTCTCACGACACCCTGTGGGTGTGCGCTAGTTGGTCTCAAATCAGCAGGCACTGGCCCTAAAACTTAGCTCTAAACAAGGCAGAAAAATTACAGGTGATATGAGCTCTTCCACAGCTCCCCTTGGCTTTGCCATGGAGGCAGTCAAAAAGCCTTGTCACAGTGCTTTGCTTGCTGAACTGAGGTTGCCTTCTGTAGAAACGGGGGCTCATGTGCAAATGCCTGGGGATTCAGAAAGGGACCCAGGAGCTGATGCTTTGCGTCAAGCTCTGAGGGGTCTGCCAAGCAGGATAGGCCCTGGACAAGCTTTGTGCCCTCAAGTATCCCCCAGAGTGCCCAGACCCGCCCTGGACATTTTACAGGTCAGACGTTGTGGACTACTGGCTCACTTGCCGAACTCAGCCCAAAGAGGAGCACTGTCTGGCTCACAGTGTTTAAAAGTTGCTATGAATATGAATTAGCCAACCTTGAAAATACAGAAGACACTGCACACAAATCCAGATTCTGAGATTCTTTTGATGAAGCCAGAGGGCTGGAGCTGGGTGGTGGTGACCCTCCTAGGGTGAGGCATGTGCTCCCTAGGTCCCCACACAACCCACCTCACTCATGCACATAATGGCCCGAGCCTCACATGCAACTGAGTGTCACCCCTGCCAGATGCCATGATACTATCTCAGACCTTTGAGTCAGAAAAGCTGAGTCCTGGCTCCCTCACTTACTGGCTGAGGCACTTTAAACATGTGACGGCCTTGAGCCCAGCTGATCCATCCATGAAATGAGAATAACATCTGATTCAAAGATTGTTTTAGGTGTTAAATGAGATATTGCCAATACTTGGCTTTTTGGATGTTTCTTTTGGCCGTGCCATGCGTCATGTGGAATCCTGGTTCTCTGATCAGGGATGGAACCCATGCCCCCTGCATTGGAAGTGCAGGGTCTTAACCAGTGGACCACATGGGAAGTCTTTTTTTTCCCCCTGAGATACTTATACGTGCTTTTTCAGCTATATTACTATAGAAATGCAATTATGGTAACAACTATATGACTACTGAATGAATGAGCCAAATATTAAATTGGGACAAGAACTATTTTTCACTTTCTTCAGTTGAATTTAGAGATGCCCCCGTGCCCTGGCCATATAACATTTGCAGGGAGAGTTTACTCTGTACCAAGTGATAGGCTTTATACAAATTTCCTCATTTAATGCTCAACTACACTGAAAAGGTATATATTAATTGACAGTCTCATTTCAGGGTCGAGGAAACTGAGGCTTAGCCAAGAAGTTCTGTAAGATGCCTGAGGAGGCAGTGGGCCCGGATGCACACAAAGGTGGTCTGACTGCCACCGGTGTGACCTGAAGAGGTGCGCTCTCCTGGGTGCATAGCACAGGTACTCTGTACAATGCCCTCAGTATAATTCAGGCCCAGGGGAAGTGGGTGTAATTTCCATTTTTAGGAGCCTGAGATCCTTCTGGGCTGGACCTGTATGCACTGGTATGAGTAAACACTGATTCTACCATCTAGGGATCATAGTCAACTCTGAGTGGAACATGTCAACAAACCAAAGACTGTTTGGAAAAAGAAGAAAAAAAAAAAAAGGCGGCATGCTGTGAATGTCTAAAAAAGAACTGTGTCATCAGTTTATCAATGTAAACAATCTGTCCTCCTCAGAAGGCTGCAGTCCTTTCTGTCAGGAAGGCACAAACAACTGAAGAGGGATCTGTAGGACTGAAGCCATGAAAATGATGGAAAACAGAGTGAAGAAATCATGACTTTAAGCCTGAGAAACAGACGCTAAAGGAAACTATTCGAGTCTGTTTGAGAAGTGGAATTACACTATGATTAACTGCCCTACATTCCCAGAAAATTCACATGTGGATTTAACTTGACTCACTCAGGGACGGAACTAGATTCATGGAAGGACTCTATACATTCTGAGACGTAGAAATGAATGACTAAGAGAGGCGCTGCCCAGGGCCCTGGAGATGCTCTATAGCTCTCCAAGATGAACCTCAGGGCCCTCCCACACCAAAGCATGGGGCTGAGCTGCTGCCCACCAGAGTTCCTAGAGGCCTCAGAAAATATTTACGCACAGTTGGCACCATTTCCCCACCAGATGCTAAGCTCTCAGCATAACCTTTAGGTCTTTCTACTTCTGAAAGGAAACAAGGAAGGACACTCCACTTACATTCTTGAGGAACTCCTCAGCCACAATGCGTGCACGGGCATTGACAGACAGCTTCATCTCACTGATTTCTTTGTCAATTTCCTCCATGAAGTGGATCACAAAGTCCACCAACTTGTGTTTATACATCTGCTCTGTGTGGAAGTTGGTGATCAGAAAGCTGATGTCATACCCCTAGGAAAGGAAGACAGTGGAGAGGAGGGAGAGAATTAGCATCCTGGGACACTTCACTAGCCAGGCCCTCCATATCGCTCAGCCACACGCTTCCAGCTGACCTTCTCCCAAGCTACACACCCTTCAGGCAGCAGCCCATCTGCTCTGGTGGGGATGTGTATGTTGGATCCAAAGAACTAACAGCTGAATCAACTGATCCCAATTGAGAATTTTGTCTTGTCAGACATCTCTGGCAGACTATCTGTGGTATAAATAGTTGTGTTCAGAATGAATCAAGGGAGAGTGAAAGGACTTGAAATCTTGTTACAGAAGAATCTCAAACAACAGGACCATTTAGTCCAGAGAGAAAAGAAGATGCTGTGGGAGGAGGAGGAATTGAGGTTTTTAATTATGGGTCAGACTGTGTGTAGAACAGCAATTTTATTTATTCTTGGTAGCCCTGGAGGTTAGATCTATCAACAGGAGAGATTTTTAGCTCAGGATGAGGGCGAGCCTGGCCAACAACTAATGTGTCTGACAATGGTGTCTGCTGCTCTGCATGATAGTTGCTTACTCACTGACTGGCAGGAGTTGAGCAGGCAGAGAATCCTGTAGCAAGCACTGGAGTACAGTCAGGCAAAAACTGACCCCATGTCAACTGTGGCCTTGAGAGACTGACTCAGTTGGTGGCAGAGTTTAGAATTCTGATTCATCATGCCCTTTCTGCCACACAATATAGGCTCTGGGAAGGTGAGCAATGTGCCTCATCTTTCTTTGCCTTTCCCACAGCTGAGACAGACCCAACCTCCTAAGCTAATTCCCCTTACTCTTACTCCAGCCGAAATGAAGACCACTTCTCAACTCAGGCTGTGGGTGCCCTACAGCTGGGGGAGCAAGCAATCCCAGTTTCAGAAACAATCCCAGGCCACTGACAGTGGACTCAGTAGTGGAATTCTGGGTTTTACCAACACATGGATCACAAACCTCCACTGGTTTCCTTCGGAGGATAAAGAAATTCTCTGCTCGCATCATCATGAAGCGCATGAACTTGTGACATAGAATCTTCTCGATTTCATCAGCCTGTTAAAAGCAAAAAAGAAATGTTTCCCTAAAGTCATTCCCTAAAGGCCAACAGAAATTTGTAGCCTGGTCTTCTGACCCCAATTTCCCCCACGTTCGCTGGAGACACTGGGGTTGGGTATTGAAGTCTGAGTCATGCAGTAACTGGTTGCCAGCTAAAAGGAGGGTCCACTACATTAGAGCCCTCCAACTTAGTGGGGCATTATCATGATCTCGCCTTTACCCATTCCAAAAAGGTAACTCTGACAAACCCAAATCTTATTTTTTTTTTTAACTTAAAAACACATTTTGGCCACACTGTGTGGCATGCAGGATCTTAGTTTCCAGACCAGGGATCGAACCCAAGTCCCCTGTAGTAGAATCTCAGAGTCTTAACCACTAAACCACCAGGGAAGTCCTGGCAAGCCGCAATCTCTTATCCAATCCTTCCAGAATCCACATCTATATTCAAATCTGCCCTTTCCAGTCTCATTTCACTAGTGCTACATTTTCCAGTCAGTGATACACACTATGAAGAATATCAGATGACCTTAGATGGTCACCACTTTAATAACAATGAACATCAAACAATCTCCAAAGTTTCTCCCTGATGAACTCTCAATATTCCTGATGACAGAATTTTGTATCACGGTCTGGCAAGGCTTTAACAGCCCCCAACATTTATTAATCTCCCCTTTTAACAAACAGCAGGCCCTAGGGATAGAGCTTTTTGGAGGCAAAAGTGTGACTCTGCTTTATTTTCAATGTGCTTGTATTTTAGTGTTGTCCTCAATTTGGCAAAGCATATTGTTTTTCTTTTTATGGTAAATTTAAGTAAAAGAAAATAAGTTAATTGAAAGAAATCTATTAAGTAAAGAAGTATCCAAGTGGTCCATAAACATGGAAGAAATAATGGAGGTAGTGGGAATGTCAGACATTTGTGAAACACTGAAGAAACATGAAACTACACTTCATTTTCTTACCCTAAACCTCACTTTTGGAGTTTATGGCTATCAAATTGGATACTATTACTTATTTGTCTGAACTGAACTTATTCTTCATTCATGAGGAAGAGTTTTATGATCTGACACCAAACTGGCTCATAGCCTTGGCTGCTACATTACCTGCTATCTAATCCAGAGCAAGGCCTAGAAGATAAGGCTGACTTTCCTTTATTCTACTAAATCTGATAAGTTTAGCAAATTATTTCCTGGAAAGAGAACCTGGGTTTCTTTGCACCCTGAATCTGGCATTTTGACCCTGGGGGGGTCCCTGGCCTCCCCAGGGAGACAGGGGATCTGGGGTGAGCTCACCTGTTTCACAGCAATGCTGACCCTGACAGAGTTGATGGAGCCTTCAATCAGAACCTTTTCCTTTTCATTCCTGCTGATGGTCACGGGTTGTAGCAGAAGCTCTTTGCTACTTCTGAGAACACAAAATGACAGAGGTATCTGTACTATAAAAGAACAGAATGGTCAGGGAGACTCCACGGCAGGTTCTAGAATCACTATCTGGAACCACAGAGTCCAAGGAATAAGAGACTCACAAACAGGGATGCTCCAAGAAGGGGGCCAGAGAGCATGTTCTCCAGCAGAAAATGCAGAGGCTCTGGAGTCAGGGTGAAAAGGTTCTGAAATTCAGCCTCCTTTGTTACTTCTGTTGGGCAAGTTACCCTGTTGGAATCTCAACTTCCTCATTTGGAGACAGATCAAAAACGGTCAAATGTATAACAGTGGGCCTGGCACATTACAGGAGCTTTACAAATGACAGCTCCTATTTTCATAACTATAGGCAAACCCATACACTGTTTAGGGAATGAGAGAGCCTGCCTTATAGATAAGGACAAGCTAAAATCAAACAGTTTGGCCTCCTTTAATAATCAATCCAGAATAATTCACTTATTCAAAATTATGACCCCTCTCAACTCAGTTCCCATTCTGATGCTTCTGAATTCCTCTGACGGTAGTTAACTGTATTGGTGGTGTCTGTGAGCTATTATCCTTTAAAAATGCCTAGTGGAAACCATATATGTTAAGTAGCATAACAGGGCACATTTTAACATGTCATTTTTCTTACATTCAAATCATATCAATTTACTGTGGTAACAATCCTTATCTCTGTTGTATATGTACCACACTAAACATCAAAGGGGAAAAAGAAATATTTATTTACAAAACATGTATCAGATAAAATAATCCAAAGTATGGAATATTTGTAGTAGGGGATGGGAGTCCAGTTGTTTGTTTTTTTGAGGGGAAGGATCCTTGATCTTCAAATTTGAGAAGAGCAGAGATGGCATCTCAGATAACTCAATTCTTAAGTCTTCTCCTTAAATTGCTAGAGGGTTCAGTGCCTCCTTGGGAGACATTTCCTAGATGGCTCTATGTTGAGAAGTCACAACTTGTGTCAAGCACATCTTGGCTCCAGAGTAGCTTCTCCCCTGAGTTTTGTCCTGTCAACCCACTGAGACCCCCTTTTCTGAACTTCAAATTAGGAACCATCATTTACCTGGCAGCAAGACAAACATGTGAATCACAGCTGCTCTGACAACTGCAGAGCGGAAGTTCCTGGCCCCTCTGACAAGAGCCGTCTCTGGGTGCTGCATCCATCACCCCTACCCCTTTTCCTCCCATACCTGACTTCTACTTCCGGCTTGTTGTGTCGTTCCACGACCTGGGAGGAGAAATTCTCCAAGCAGAGGGCAGCCTGCAGTGTGGCCCGCACGGCACTCAGGTAGGGGCGGAGAGTGGCAGTCTGGAGGAAAACCCCAAGGGACAATCAGAATCTGTCTCACAAAATCCACTGATCCCACAGTCCAGCTACACAGGAGCCAGGCAGTACTGAGGTCCTTGGCTCTCAAGACACGACAGTGAACGTAACAGACTAGGCCTTCAAGACGTCCTTCATTTTAAGTCTAGAACACTGGTTCTCAAAAGGGGACCTTTTTGCCTACTAGGGGACATATGGCAATGGCAAGACATTTTTCATTTTTAAAACAGGCTGGGTAGGAGTTATTGGCATTGAATAGACAGAAGTCGGGGATACTGCTTACAATGTACAACAGAATTATTCAGGCCCAAATAGTGCTGAAGTTGAGAAACTCTGGTCTAGAGGCACACAGGTAAATGACTGTCTTCAATCTGCCCTTTGAGTCAACAAATGTATATATCTGTAGTGTGCCAGGCACACGAGGGGTTGGGAATTCAATGACTAAGACCATTTCTATCCTTAAACAGTTCAACCGGGTCAGGGAGACAGACAGTAACTATGATACAATGGGTACAATGTGAAATAGTTAAGATTTACAAATCATATTTGCAGAAGAAACTGGTTTTGATTTGAAGATGGAAATAGGATTAGGAGGATTTTATAATGATAAAAACAAAAATGATATTTCCAGGAGAGGAAATGGCATCTAGCAACAATGGACTATCTTCAATTCCTTGCATTAGTTAAGTTCTTTCTCACCCCAGGCTTTCACACATGCCGAACCATCTATCTTGCAGGTTTTTCTCCCCCTTCTTTGCCTAAGTCATCGTTTAAATCTTGGCTTATTCAGAGAAGGCCTCTTCTTTCCTCAGAGGTCCTTCTTGACTTCTCTTTTCATAGCACTTATTATAATTTACAATGATACACCCTTCAAATAGCTCCAAGAAAAGTAATTTTCTCCTTTACTGAACTGAAAGCTCCATGGTTAACAGACCATGTCTATTCTATTCAAATTTACATACCCTGCAACTTGCTCAGTCAGTACATTTCCTATATACTGTCTTACTCAGTTTCTGTACAATAAGTGAATGAATGAAAAAATAAGATTAGAGTAACAAATAGGGGCATTAAAGTAGTAATGAATACAATGTTGCCAGGAAGCATTTTAGATTCAATGGATGAGGTTGCAAATGGCGGTCCAGAGATTCATGAGGAATCTCAAATGCCAGGCTACTGAAGTTTTAGCTCTTCTCTTAAAAGTGGTAAGGAACTTCTGGGGCTTTCTGAAGAGGAAGTTACACAACTACAGCAGCATGCAGACTTTGTGGAGAATCGACTGGAGGAGAGGGAAGTGACAGAGCCAGCAGAGGGTTATTTAAGTAGGGTAATGAGAGCCTTGCCTGGGGCAATGAGGGACAAGTAAGATTGTATTTGTCAAAGTTCCTAGCAAATCTGAAAAAGGTACATTTTAGGTGGTCAACCCTATGACGTCTGCCCTTTCACAAATGGAGTAAGCACCTTCTCGTGTAATACTTCAACAAGTATGATGTTTAAAAAAATCAAGAGGCATCCCCTCAGTTAAACAAAAACAGAATATCCCAGGTTTCTAGCTGAGATAAGAAAACAGAGAGCAAAAATAAGGAATACAAGAGAACAAGCAAATTTAGGGAGAGAAGAGTTTTAATCCAGATGTCTAATTTCAAGGTGTCTTCAAGATATCCAGGTGAACCTTGAAAGAGAGGAAGGCAGACTTAAGAGTCATCATAAATTATACGGTCACGAAGACCTGTACATTAAATAGGTATCGACAGGAAGAGGATAAAGAAGGGGAAGGCAGTGAGCCAAACTCAACTGACGTTTAGAAACACCCACAATTATCAAAAGGGACGACTTCCTGAAAGGGAAAGGTCAGCGGCATTAGAGCTTAACATTCCATATTAAGGCTGATACGGTTGAATTCTAACCAGGAAGGGGTCTGCGTGCAGGCAGCAAAAGAGAGATCCTTCAGTGAGGTAAAAGTAAGAGCTGGTGGCAACATGAGGAGTGGGATAAGAAAGTATGGAGGCTTCCTCAGAGAACTGTGGGATCAAGCGATCGAGAAAGACAAGAGTGTATAGTGAAGGTCTACTCTGGATAGGGAGGTATCCCTACTACATGCCTCAGTGGCCCTACTACGGGCTATAAGGCCTACTACGTGCCTTCGAGGCGCTACCACAAACCGAGGAGGAGCCACTTCCTGCTTCCTTCTTGCCTCAGTATCCCCCGCCAGCTTCAAAGGACAGAATAGGAAGCCTCAAAGCCTGCTTCTTACGAAGGCGTCCCCCGCTCGCCCTTTCCTCACCTCAGCCCCTGCCCCGCCCTCTTTCTCCCAGCCTCAGGGTACCCCCGCACCCCCCAGCATCCCTCGGCCCAGGGCCTCTCCGCTGCAAAGTCGCAACTCCCCCAGACCCAGAGCCTAGAGGCAGAACAGCAGGGGTCCCTGGCCCGAGGCCCTGCTCTCTCACCATCGCGGGCGCTGGCTGGGCCGGAAAGCGGAAGCGCGGAAGTGGCCAGCCCCGCGACGCCTGCCCTTTCTCCAGAAGCGCAGCCGCAGTCTCCGCCCGGACGTCCGGACCGTACCATCTGTGTTCCGAGCGGGGGAGGGCGAGGCTAAGAACATTTGGTCCCTCGAAAGTTTTCCCGTTAGGACTGTCTTAGTAGCTTTAGGCTCCTGAAGCTTAAAATCACTACTCAAGCTTCTCCCGTTCCCCGTGGAGCTCTTGCTTGTAACTTTGGCTTTCTCGTCTTTATTCCCGCCGTCTTCCCTCATAGTCATGCAATGGTGCAGCCCGACCTCAGGTTGGGCACCATATTAGGGCAAGGCAAGGCGGAGGAGCCTTTCGATCCTTCCGGTTCTTCGCCCCCATCCTATCTTCAGGCCCCTCCTACCTGCAGCCTTTGGGGCTCGGCGAGACTAACTGCCGGGCCGAAAACCTGGCTGCCGAGCCCCGCCCTCCAGCGCCGGGCGGTTCCCTAGGGTACGCCCGTGGGCATACTTTCTGCATCCCACCTGCAGCGGGCTAGCTCGCTGCCCGCAACCCTCCCCCCACCAAAAAGACTGGGGTTGGTACTCGCGTCTTCCCGCCCCCTTGTCAACTGCAGGGCGCCCTCACATAGCCAGTTCCGGGGCGGTTGCTCTCGCCGACCGGAACTCTCCGCCCCTCCCGCGGCCCCGGCGCCGCTGGAGGCAGCAAGGAGGAGGTAGAGGGGGCGGGGGCCGCGGTAGGGTGTCCTTAGAGGACTGATACCCTGAAGGCGGAACATTGGGACCATCCATGGGTGGGGTCAGCCATTAACCAGCCCCACTTTTCCTGTGCCAGGCACTGAACTGAGCTCTTGACTGGCATCAACTCTTAAATCCTCAGAACATCCCAGGGAGGTAGGTACCATTATTACCCCATTTTACAGATTCAGACTTAAGGGAAAAGAGACTCAGACTTCTTTTTGTCTCCATTTTACGCATAGAAAAACCGACTCAGAGTTAATGAACATGTTCAGGGCTACATAGACATTGGTCAAGCCTGGGCTTGAATCCCGCTGTATCTGGCTGTCCAGAGATCCAGGTATGTCTTTACTATCTGGGGCAAAGAGAAGGGGCAGAGGTCGGGAGGGGTGAGACAGTAAGAGGCTGGGAGGCACGAAGAACGTTAGCATAAGTCCCGGATGCTTGGAACTCTGGGCTCAGCAGAACCCAGGAAGAGTGGAAGTGAAGGGAAGAGCATCAGAAAGACAAGCATAGTAGTATGGTATATCATGGCAGTTAGGTGAACAAATTCAAAACCACCTGGATTCAAATTGCATGTTGGTAAGCTTGGACCTGCCGCATCCTTACAAAGTCTGTTTCCTCATCTGTAAAACGAGCGTGGTCCCTGTTCTTGGGCCTGAGTGAGGAGTTCAGTGAGCAGCCAGTAGAATGTCTGCGCCTCACTTGGCACACAGTAGGTGCTGTGAGAGTAGGAGCTAAGCCATCATCCTTGTCAGTAGGGTGCTGAAGCCTGACTCTCCCCGAAGCTGTCCCTGGATGGAAGGAGCCCTTGGACTTCTCTAGTGCCACTATTCCCCCCATCAATGGTCCTTTCCTCTCCAGCTCCACAGGGTCCCCTGTCCTGAGCCATGAGTGAGCTGAAGGACTGCCCCTTGCAGTTCCACGACTTCAAGTCTGTGGACCACCTGAAGGTCTGTCCCCGCTACACAGCGGTGTTGGCGCGCTCTGAGGACGACGGCATCGGCATCGAGGAGCTGGACACCCTGCAGCTGGAGCTTGAGACCCTGCTCTCCTCTGCCAGCCGGCGCCTGCGGGTGCTTGAGGCTGAAACCCAGGTGATACCCTACAGAGGGGACATCACTGCAGTCCACTACAGGGATGGACTATGACACGTTATGGGATGTCTCACTGAGTTAGCCTCAGCTGCTGAGGCTCCGGTTACAGGATCTCAGGGGTGAAGAGAGAGACCCAGACATTGCTTGTGTGACACATAAAATATGCAAGAAAGTGCATGATCCTTCTAAATTGTGAGATTTCTTATTCACTAAGCATCTAGGGACCCCCCACTCCTCACAATGCTTTGAGTCTGTAGAGTTAAGTAGGACAATTCTGGCCTTGGGGAGTGTGCCAACTAAAGGGAAGGAGAGGTCAGACATGTATCAGGTGAATTGCTGTTTTTGTTAGGAGTACTGGGGGAACTGGAATGGGAGGCCTGCATTTGAATCCTGCGGTTTCTGAGCTGTGTGACGTTGCAAAACTTAACTGCCTGCTTCTGCAGATCAGTCCTTCTTCTGCAAAGTGGGCTGGATAATAGGACCTACCCTCAACTTTTGTGAGGATTAGGAGAGATTTTTTGCAAAGGCTCAGCCCAACGTCTGACACTAAGTAAGCATGTCAAATGTTATTTATTGGTCTGACTCTCATTATTTCTATTTATGGCATAAACATCCTCTGAGCCCTGCATGCCAGGTGCTCTGCCAGAACCTGGGGAACAGAAATGGCTGAGATGAACTTCCTGGTCCCCAATAGCTTATAGTCCTGTTGAAGAGACAAGGTACTCTGTTTATTCTAGTTATGACCAGATGACATGATTGGGCCTAGGGTTGCAAGGTACCAGAGACTCCTATAGGAAGAAGATGGCATTTTAACTGAACCTCAGAAGATGAATAAAATTAACTTGTGGTCCCTGGGAACCCATGGAAGCTTTTCGAGTGGGGCTGTGGCATAGTTGGTTGTCTTTTAGCATCTAAGAAGCTAGATAGCTGATACAGAAAAGGCTTCCTAGTCACAGTGACATTTGAGGTGAAGGTTTGCTGGGAGGCATGCGTGCCTTCAATAGAATGTTACTGCCAGCATATTTTCCTTGGGCTAACATGCACTGCCATGTGATCTGCTTGTTTGACCTGCTAACACTGTGTGACCAGGTTGGGTGCTGCAGAGGTGAATCAGTACAGACAAGTGAATGGAGTGATGACAAGTGTATGAAAAAATCTTGTGAGATGGGCACAGAAAAGGAGCTGAGTTTTGCTGTATGAGTAGGAGTTTGCTAGATAAAAAGAGGAAGGGGAAAGACTTAGAGCCTCCTTGAGTTCCAGATCTTAATTTTTCATGGGGAGATGGAGTCGTCCTGTGTCTTTCCTTCTCACTCTCAGTGACAGTCTTTGAATTTCAGATCCTCACTGACTGGCAGGATAAGAAAGGTGACCGACGACTCCTGAAGCTGGGTCGAGACCATGAGCTTGGAGCTCCCCCCAAACATGGGAAGCCCAAGAAGCAGAAACTGGAAGGGAAGGCGGGACATGGGCCTGGCCCTGGCCCTGGGCGACCCAAATCCAAAAACCTTCAGCCCAAGATCCAGGAATATGAATTCACTGATGACCCAATTGATGTGCCACGTATCCCCAAGAATGACGCCCCCAACAGGTTCTGGGCCCGGGAACATAGATGGGCCTTGGGATTTGAGCACTGGAGGCTGTGGAGGGGCCTGGGGCTGAGGCTAGTGGGGCAGGGGGCACCCCCTCAGGCTCTGCTTCTCTCTTTAGATTCTGGGCTTCGGTGGAGCCATACTGTGCTGATATCACCAGTGAGGAAGTGCGCACGCTAGAGGAGCTACTGAAACCCCCAGAAGATGAGGCTGAACATTACAAGGTAAAGACCCCAGGCCTAGATAGACATGATGGAGAACAAGAGGGCTCAGAGATGCCTCAGAATCAAAGATCACAGAGCTGTATATCATCTTCCTTTTTCTGTCTCCCCAGCCTCCTGACCGTTCCATTAACCCACTCAGACACCGGTTCTAGCTCTCAGCTTCCTCCCTTCTACCCTGCTACATCTTAAGGCATCTTCTTCAGTGAGGTCCTCCCTTTGTCTCTGTCATCCCCTTTGCTTTGGCTCAAAAATTCATCAACTTTTACCTTTACAGCCTGTTAACACTTGCTTCCCTCTGGAGGGATTCTCTCTCTCCCTTTTTTATTGGATGTACAACGTGGCATGTGGGATCTTAGTTCCCTGATCAGGGATCGATCCTGCACCCCAAGCAGTAGAAGTGAGCAGTCTTCACCACTGAACCACCATGGAAGTTCCTCTCTCTCTTTTTTAATGTTTTTATAATTTTTTTCCATTTATTTTTGTTAGTTGGAGGCTAATTACTTTACAATATTGTAGTGGTTTTTGCCATACATTGACATGAATCAGCCATGGATTTACATGTGTTCCCCATCCTGATCCCCCCTCCCTTTTTTAATGTTTTTAATGTATAGAAGTTTTTTATTTTTAGTTTTTGTGATGAAAATAAAAGAGGTTCCGTTAAAGAAAGTGTAGAAAATACAGAAAAATGTTGGAGGGGAATTCTCCCATAGGTCCGCTATCATGATTAGAGGTGCTTACAACACAGCCTCTTGTGGCTCCCATTACCCACAGACTCAAGTCCAGGCCTCAGTCCTTGGAGGCACAGCCCAAGTGCCCCTTTCCAGTTTCCTTGGCCACACCACCTCTTTACTGCTTGTTATTTGCCAGCCCCACTAAGCACCTTACCCTCACTCCAGGCTCACACAGGGTCCTTTCTGGTCTCTGGGCCTCTGCACATGCCCATCTCCCCTTGGCAAACTAATACCCTTCCAGCCCCTTATTGCATGTTACCTGCATCAGAATGGTTTTGCAGGTTTCCCAGCAGAAGGTTGGTCTGTCTTTTGCACTGCCACAACACCTTAACCTACTGTCACTCCACTTGTCTGAATTTTTAAAAAACTTATTTGAAAAGGTAATCTATACAGGCAGTCACAAGTTCAAACAGTGCATAAGCTATTTCTCTCTCACTTCTAACTTTAAGGCCTGTAGTTCTCTCTAGAGATAATAGCTATCAACTGAAATTGTCTGTATACACACCATTCTGCACCTTACATCGCGGAAATTTTCCTGTATTGCCTTCTGTGTGTTGTAGTTGTTTATGTACCTGGCTTCTCTACTAAACTGTGACTGTAGAGATTTTTATCTCCTGTATCTCTTCGCACCTGATGCTCAGGCCTCAGCCCTGGGCTAGATACTTGGGAGACAGATAAATGAAGGAATGAGGGTGAACAGAGAACCTGTTGGCAGTTCC